AGTTTTTTATAAATGAGACGTGACAAGTTATACATGATTATTAACCATAAGATAATTGAGTTTGAGTAGAACTGATATTGGCCAATTTGGACAGAGACGCGTGGCAGGTTCTCCTGACAGTTGCAACCCAAAAGTTCAAAATTCAAGAAGAAGAAAAAGGGGAAGGGGGAAAACGTGGTCAGATATTGCTAGAGAACTTGAGAAAGCCATCTTTGAATAGTTTCGAATTTCAATTACTTGAGCTGGATGGATATGAAAATTAGCGTTGACTATGCCATCTACGCAAGGAAGGAAGGAGCATAATGAATTGGGATGAGTTGCCTTTCAGCTTTGCATGCACACGTGATGCCTCTGTAAGAGAAGGCTATCAAACTCTTTCAAAAAAAAAAAAAATAGAAGGCTATCAAATTAAAATTAGGAAAATAATAGAATATTGAAATCAGAAAATGTATTATAACCTTAATTGAAAATGAAGGGATATAAGGAAAAGGACATGAAACTTGAAAGAAGTGGCGCAACTTTAATGGATATGATGATAGCTTAATTTAAGCTAGGATGATTAGATGCTAGCGGCCTGAATTGGTGCATGACTTAACCGAAAGCAGCGGGCTGGCATCATGGGTGGCCCGTGCTGCCTAGCCCGTGAGCGCGGCGGCCGGCGATTAGGGCGGAGACCGGCATTATCTATCCCTACGTTCCAGATGTAGAAACGGAATACTTGATTTGTTTTTGGTCATTCGAAAGTGGATAAGGGAGAGTGATGAGCCCATTTTTTTATAGTTACGACTAAATCATAAAAGCAATGAATTGGTGATGATTTGATGAAGTAACTTGCTATGAAAAAACCTCCAAATGAATGCGGTAGAATCATACCACGTAACGAAAAGGGTCCAAATTACTGAGTCCTAGAGGTCCATGCCATCTAACGAAAAAGGGTCGTGGAAGCGAGACAAGAGGCTCTGGGTACAATTTTGAAAAATACTAAGTATGAGAAGGTTATGTTGTGTCACGGTCATGCCATGAAATCAAGCCCCATGACCAAGACCGAAGGCCCAAACAATATGGTAAGTCTGGGACTGGCCTTCCCCTAAGATAAGAGGGCTATGGACATGATTAAGAAGTCCATGGTCGCGAGGCAAGACAACCACGACCCCCCTAACACCACAGAGTCATCAAATGACTAGCATGACACGAGATTGGAACAAGACCAGGCAAGGCAAGCTACACTCCAAGACCAACGACAGTTTCAAGAGAGGTACCTTGGCAGTTGATGAGTGATGAACTGCTACTCATCCCACGATCATGGGACACCTAGTTTCGAGGAAGCAACGAGCAGTTATTTTTTAGAGTTATCCAAGAAGTTGTTTCTATAGCAGTTATCTATCCATTATCTATAAATAGAAGGAAGGGTCGACAAAGAGAAGGTTCCACAATCAGACAATTGACGCCTACATCAAGTTTTATCATTTTTTCTCTGCAAGTAGCCATAATTGTAGTTTGGAGCTCTCACTGAACCTCCATTTGAGTAGAAGTAATTTAATGTAGTTATGTTCCAAAAAAACCATTAATATAACACCCTTGTTTGAATAGTGTTCAAAGATGTGAAAACCATGTTTAAAAATCATATTAATAAGTAGTTAAAGATGCAATCAATTTCATTCGGCGTAAGTTTTCTCGCCGAAAAACACTAGGTGTCAAGATACCAGACCTAAATTTGAAACTTTTCCTTTTTACTCCGACTAGTAGTTGTATTCATTATTTGAACATTGGACATCAACGCTAATATATAGGAGAAGTTTAATACATTACACTACAAATCGTTTATTGTAAAACTTATACCATAAATGCTATTTATCTAATGGGTTACGATAGCTTCCTTGAATTCAAAGGAATGGATGAGTTGTAGGATAAAGGTAACAAAAAGTGAATATTATTGTATCAATTAGTTTATTTTCTTATATATCAAGATAACATTGATCTTATAATTTGCAACTACAAGTGCATAAAGAACACCTTTCATCAAGAACAAACTTTAGAGAAGAATATTCTACTAATTTGTGAATAATTGTCTAGTGAAAGGCATTAAAATAGACTTTCATAGTTCAAGAAATTAGATAAAAAAATGTATTTTAAAAAATTTGTAATCCAAAAGACCAAGGTTTACAAAAACAAAAGTTGTATCAATTGATATATCTTCTTTAACAAATCTATTACTTGAATACTATTGTTCTATTTTTTTAATTATACAATTCAAATATTAAAACTACACATATTGATCAATTTTCTTGATGCACTACCAACGCTTCTACAAACTTGTTGGTAAGGCTGAAACTAATTAAGGCACTAATCATTTAGATTCTGATGTACCCATTAATATGTAGAACTATATATATAACAGCATCGTGGAGGTTGATGTTGGGAGGACGCAATCTAATGGTGAGTTTTGCGTTGGAGTAAGGTTGGAAAATATGAAAATTTGGCAACTAGAGCAGATTCCAAAGCATCAGTTAAGATACTTTATCAAGCCTTCTACAAATTTATAAATCATATATTTCATTCATTTAGCCCCGATTTCAAATAGCACTAGAAAACCAGGTTTTTTACTTTTTCACAACAATATGACATCAATTGACCATTTCTATAGTTTTTAACAAAAATTTCACTTCATTTTACCTCTTTCATATCATAATATATATTATCATAACGATAATATTATAATACAATGATATGATTGTATTGTGCAGTCATACCATAGTGGCAAGATCTTAATATGAGAGTAGTAAGATGTTATTATTGGGGTGGTAAATGGATAGTCAGTTATTTGTTTTAACTATTATGAGTACTATGGTTAGTAAATTATCGGTTATCAGTATTATGAGTTGTCAACCTACTATAGTAGTAAGATTATGAAATAACAGTCATAAGATTACAACAAATACGTATTTTTAAGAACTAATATTTTTTTCTCAAAATATAACAAAACTGATAATTATGTAGATAATAATAACAATATTTGCAACAACAAAAAAACATTATGTAAGATTACAATGAATATGTATTTCAAATCCTTTTTCTCAAAATATTGCAAACTGTTATAAACGCGCTGCTACTGATCGGGAAATCGTCGGAATCGAGAAAGCGAGAATCGAAACACGACACACAATTTACGTGGTTCACTAACACGATGCGTGTTAGCCAGTCCACGGGCGAGAGAGAGTCAGTTTCACTAAATCGAGGAGATTACAGATTATAGAGGAGATGGTCTAACCCTAATCCAATCTGGTAAAGGAAAAGCTGTTACAACCAGACTCAGAACCCGAACCCAAATAACATTATTGAACCCGTACACCGAGACCTCCCGACTATTCCAATCGTGACGGTTGATAGTCCGATTATGTGAATAATAACTAATATTGTATTCTACATGAATTATTTTAATTCGAAGTTAAAACGCAATAGATATCCATCAAAAAGGGATCCATATATCTCTCCTCTGAAATCCGGCTATACAACAACAAAAGGACAGTGAAAAATAATCAACCCGCCCTCGTTGTCTCTACATAATTTTTCTGCCTTTTTTTTATCCCTTTCAGATTACAAACAAAGGAACACCTTGAGAGTTGGTTTTATAAGATTTCACCACCTTTTTTTTTATGGGTAACCTGTTGTTTTATAAGATTTTACAAATGTGTGTTTTGTACTAGATCGATCGACATCGGCTCTCCGCACTAACACATATCACGTTAACGTCCACCTTTCTAATTTGCTGGAAAAGTGAATCCCCCCGTCCCGTGTGTGTTAACTCTCTCCATCTGGGCGCGCGTACACCACTAATTAGCCAACTAATAGTAGTGAACTCTACTATTCCATCCCATTCCCATATATCTACTTCACATCGCGTTACACTGTACCTGTATTTATTATTTATCACTATGATCATCACTAGGTCTGGTTATTTGGTCCGAGCTATTTGGTTTTACCTGAAATCGGACCGATAATCTGGACCGGACCGAAACAGGATAGCAAACAATCCAATCCAAAATTTGGGCTTAGATTTGAGATAAAAAAATCGTTTGGGACCGGATAAAAAACCGGATAAAGACCGAATAAGAGAGCCCAACACCCAAAACTTAACCAACTCCTCACTCTTTGAGTCATCAGGCCACTCGAATCCCCTACAAGTTCAATCTAAAATCAAGATCGAATTGGGACCGGACCGGGGTCAAGACCGGGTTGTATCCAATCCAATCTTTGGTCCTTATATTCCCAAAACGACGGGACTGGGACGGGATCAATTCGGGCCAATTTAACCGGACCTGACCGTATAGCCAGCCTAACCACTGCATCAATTAGGGCTGGCTATTTGGTCCGGGTTTTTTGGTTTTATCCGAAACCAAACCGTATAACCCGGACCGAGACCGGACCAGGACCGGATAGTAAACAATCCAATCCAATTTTTGGGCTTAGATTTGAGGTAGAAAAACCGTTCGGGACCGGATCGAAAACTGGATAAAGACCGGATAAGAGAGCTCAACACCCAAAACTTAAGGGTAATTTGCATAAACGGTCACAAACCTTTGCACTTAGTACAAAACTTAACCAACTCCTCACCCTTTCAGGCCTTAGGCCACTCAAATCCCCACAAGTCCAAAATAAAATCAAGATCGAATTGGGACCAGACCGGGTCAAGACCAGACTATATCCAAGCCAATATTTGGTCCTTATATTTTCAAAAAGATCGGACTAGACCGGATCAATTTATACCAATTTAACCGAACCGAACCGGACTGTATAGCCACCCCTAGCATCAATTATTACCATAAAAGAACTTATGACATCTACCTTGTAAGTTGTAATGTAAGTAGTAGTAAGTAACCACATCAAAGTCAACGCAGCAGAATGTGGCATTACTCCTATGACCTCAGTTTACAATAAGTGCGACTTTTCCCTTCCCTAGAAAAAACCTCTATAAATTGCACCTTCCCCGTGAACCCGCTTCATTGCCAACTCTCTCCCTCGGAAAAGAAATAACCATGGCGGTGAACATAACCTCCATCAAAACCTCCTCCAACGGAGCATGGCAAGGCGACAATCCCCTCGACTTCGCCTTCCCGCTCCTCATCCTCCAGACCATCTTGATCCTCGCCGTCAGCCGCTCCCTCGCCTTCCTCCTCAAGCCCCTCCGCCAGCCCAAGGTCATCGCCGAGATCGTCGGCGGGATCCTCCTGGGCCCGTCGGCGTTCGGCCGGAACCACCACTACATGCACCGGGTCTTCCCCAAGTGGAGCGCCCCGATCCTCGAGTCCGTCGCCAGCATCGGCCTCCTCTTCTTCCTCTTCCTCGTCGGCCTCGAGCTCGACCTCTCCTCCATCCGCCGCAGCGGCAGCCGCGCCTTCGGCATCGCCGCCGCCGGGATCACCCTCCCCTTCGTCTGCGGGATCGGGGTCGCCTTCGTCCTCCGCAGCACCATCGCCGGCGAGGACCAGGTCGGCTACGGCCAGTTCATCGTCTTCATGGGCGTCGCCCTCTCCATCACCGCGTTCCCCGTCCTCGCCCGCATCCTCGCCGAGCTCAAGCTCCTCACCACGCGCGTCGGGGAGACGGCCATGGCGGCCGCCGCTTTCAACGACGTCGCCGCGTGGATCCTACTCGCCCTCGCCGTGGCCCTCGCTGGGGACGGCGTCCCCGGTGGGCCCCACAAGAGCCCATTGGTATCCGTGTGGGTCATGCTGTCGGGCCTGGGCTTCGTCGGGTTCATGATGCTCGCGGTCCGGCCCGCGATGAGGTGGGTCGCGGGCCGGTGCTCGTCGGAGCACGACGCCGTGGACGAGGCCTACATCTGCCTGACCCTGGCCGGGGTGATGGCGTCGGGTTTCGTGACGGATCTCATCGGGATCCACGCCATATTCGGGGCGTTTGTGTTCGGGTTGACTATTCCCAAAGGCGGCGCGTTTGCGGAGCGGTTGATGGAGCGGATCGAGGATTTTGTCTCGGGATTGCTGCTTCCGCTTTATTTCGCGTCCAGTGGGCTCAAGACCGACGTGGCGTCGATACGTGGCGGGAAGTCGTGGGGCCTGCTCGCGCTGGTGATCACCACGGCCTGCGCCGGGAAGATATTGGGGACGTTCGCGGTGGCGATGATGTACATGATTCCGGCGAGGGAGGCGCTGGTTTTGGGCTTGTTGATGAATACCAAGGGATTGGTGGAACTCATCGTGCTCAACATTGGCAAGGAGAAAAAGGTCAGCTTTTTTCCACTCTCTCTCTCTCTTTTTTTTTTTTGGCACTAATGACCGCTTTAATAGTGAAGCAAGAAACTCTTATAACGTAATTCACTACTTTGACCGGGTTAGACCAATATTTATGTGGAAGGAACAACGCATAGTAAATAAGTAATAAAAAAAATAGATTAAAATAAGTATTATCTATCATGATAAAACAATTCTTGACTGACTATTAAATGAAGTGATTAGTTTAGTCACTATTATCTTATCAACAAAGTTTTACACCGCGTTCGTTTGTCATGCACTCATGCTTATTGTAGGCAACTCAATTATAGTAGTAAAATCACAAATAATCAAGTTTGTTTGATTTATATGGATTTAGAAGCTGCGATATTACTATCATTCGTAAATTATTTTGATTATGTTCTTATAAAATTAATTTAATATATTTGAATTCCTCTAAATTAAAATAAAAAGTGTATTTAAAACAAAAATCCAAATATTTAGTTTTCAGAATAATTTATCTTTTAATTGCTAAATAACTAGTGCTAATTACTATCAATTAATTACGCGGTCAAGTTTTTGTCTCACAACTAACTTTTGTCGTTATATGACCAAAATGGTTAGTATGTGACATGTGCTTTTGGTTTCATGCCCCAACGGGCAATGGGTATGACGTCACCTTTTGCTCAATCGGAAAACACACCCAAAATATTATTATGGTGTTAAAACAAACGAGAATTAATGAAAAGGAAGATATTACTATGAAAATACACCTTGAAAGAATTAAATTTCTGTTAAATATAAATTCCAAAATTCATTTTTAATTTCGGATTTTACTTTTTAATAACTTGAATTCATGTTGAAACAAAGTAATACATATAATAGGGAAAAAGAGATAAATATCTACTTTAGAATAATATAAAGGATCCTATTGATATTAACACCTATAGTATTATTCTATTATCCTATCCCAATTAACAGCAGCGCCATCACAGAAAAGACCATTATAGGCTGCGTATTGCGTATAAACAATATAAATTTTACCCTGCTTATTTTTAAAATAACATGTGTCATTTTCCTATACATGGAAAAATCAACTCTCTAATTTGTTTTCGTTGAAAATGGAACTCTCTGTTTCCCACTTCACCGTACTCGGGTTTTGATCTCATAGTTAGGTGCATAATTCACATGGCAAACAATATGCATAAGTTCCCCTTTCTTTCTATAAAGGGTGAGGGGGAAATTTTTTGTTTCACAATATCAATATTTTTAGGCAAATCTAGTTGTACTAAATGGTTTTTAATATGAAAGTTACAGGTTCAAATTTCTTAAACAATAATTAATTGCAGGGTAGCTAGTTAGAAAGTATATATCAAATTCTATCTTATTATAGATCACAGTGTATATGATTTTCTGTGCAAACAAAACTTGAATTTAGGTTAAAACGAAAGATACATAATCCGTTTTGAAATCATAAAGGATCCTATTGTTATTTACACAACACCATAATAGTACTTTCTAATATTATTGTACTATCCTATCATGTTGAGTTTCCACTTTAACAAGCAGCGCCATCACTTGGACAAACCAAAACCAAAAAAATCTTGGTCTGCGTATGCACCATATTACAAGGAAAAATCAACTCTCTATTTCCCACTTCACCGTTCACAGGTTTTATGCTAATTTTAAAAATAATTAAAATTGTGTCGTTTTTCTACACAAGGAAAAATCAACTCTCTATTTCCCATGTCGACGGCTATTCTTTTCCGGCAAATTCTTAAATATGTTCCCCTTGATCCTTACCAATTTCCCCCCCATAATAATAATTAATAATTATAATCACTAAATTCGACGCCCCACAACCTGAGGAATCAAATCATTACTTCGTCACCCCATGGCCCAACTTCTCCACACGACTCAGAAGTCAAAATGATTATAAAAAAGAAACCTAGCAAGCTAAGCAGCTAGTAGTTGTGCATTTGATTTAAGCTTAGAGCAGTTGGTGTTTGATTTGCCGACCCCAATGCTACCAACTAATTACACATCACTCAAATTAGACACGTCAGAATTGGAGTTTCATATTTAGTAGTATAAGTTCAAAAATTATAAAAAACGTGCAATATAATACCTAAATTTGAAACGGACGCGAATTACTACTTTTGCGATGTGTAAATTTTTCCCCCCGTTGAATCGATGTGTAAATTGTTAACCACCATTGGTTGGTTAATGTTTTAAAAATATGACTTTTCCACCCTGAAAAAGTAAGGGTGGTGCATGAATGAGGGAGGTGCAACTCCGAGGTAGTCGGGTGGAAAGTGCAATAATGTAAGGTTTTGAAAATTGAGGCGGGGTGTCTGTCCGCAAGAATAACGTGCCTCATCCCGCGGAAAATGGAAATGCCTTCAGCTTCAGTCTACATCCGTCCATACACGTGAACACAAAAGGTAAACGGGACACGAAGAGAAACCAACCAGCAGGGAGTTACATGGGAAGCCCGCTTTTCCTCTTTCTTTTCATTTCTTCCATCGGCGCCCAGAAGACCGGAGTGGAGAAAACCAAAACCACCCAGCCCAGATACAAGTTCAGTAACTAAATCAACATGCAAAGACTAACGTGGTAAATATGCCTGTCTTACTACCAATAAGGGTTTGGTTTAGTGGTTATATCACGAGTCTAGACCCGGAGGTTCCAGCCAACTGTGAAAGCAAGTGTTGAGTAGGCAAAAAAATAGGGGGCAAAATTCATTATATACGAAGGTCTTAGCCGATTTTTCAAACCTAGGACCTCATACTCTTACTAATTTGAGCTATATGTAAGGACCCCAATCAACACGGACCCATTAAAGACATAGATTTCAGGCAGCATTACTGAGTTTTTAGGACCCGCCCAGTTAACTTGAAGTATTGCTACGCTATTGGTTCCAGATTCGTATCTCTTAAATAGTACATTAATCGCAAAAAGTAAAAACTTATATCACCTTTATATAATACTTTATTTTTCATTGAACTTTTTTTTGTTCGACCTTGTGGCCATTATCAGTTACGGGTGTCAATTTGGTTTTGGTTTTTCGATGTTATATCGTTTCAAATTTTAATTTTTTTGATCCAGTTAAAACCGAAAGATCAATAAAAGAACTTATAGCAATCTTACTAGTCAATATCCATCAACAACACGCATTGTCACCAACTTATGTTTAGTAGATTCTTTCCCTATCAGCATGCTTCTTGTTGTCTTTTCTAACTCCAACACTCCTTACTTCCTAACTTAATGTTTAGTAACTAACCATCTTGTAGACTATAAATCTATAATACATATGTAATTTCATAAATTCGTTATACAAATTCACTTAAAGTTCACAAAATCTCACAAGCCCAAATGCGCAGTTATATTAGCTGCCACCAGTTTAGTTCTTTAATCGTCGGCTATCATCTCCATATTATGATTTATACGTGACATATGAACTTTTCCTTGAATCAAAGTAGTGATGATGTGAACATGGATCAACTTTTATAAAAGTATCAAAATTCAAAAGACATCTTACTTTCCTTCAGATTAAGCCTTCCTTGGTCCATCAGTCCTAGAATATACTTGAGTAATTAATAAACTACGTACGTTAATCTCCCCACCATAATCCAATCCAGTTGGAGAGATAACCCCCGCTGGATCAGCACCACCCCACTCTCCCTTCATGTCGACGTACCATCTCCCACCACATTCCCTTGTCTCACTTTGCGTATCCACCTTACTAAACTAGTAAAACTGCCTATTTCCTTTAATTAATTAGTGCTAATCAAGAAAGTTGACCCTGTTTTGTTTCTTGTTTATCTTCTTTGGGTTGAACACGTACAGGTGCTTAATGACGAGACGTTTGCCATTCTAGTCCTAATGGCACTCTTCACCACCTTCATCACCACCCCAACCGTCATGCTCATCTACAAACCCGCCCGCCACGGCGGCGGCGCCGCCGCCTCCTCCTCCTCCCACTCCGGCACCCCGCGCCGGAAGCTCGGCGACCTGACCGCCACCAAGGAATCCAAAGACGAGCTCCGGATGCTGGCCTGCCTCCACGGCCCCGGGAACGTGCCATCTCTAATCACCCTCGTCGAGTCCATCCGCAGCACCAAGATCTCCCAGCTCAAGCTCTTCGTCATGCACCTCGTCGAGCTCACCGAGCGCTCCTCCTCCATCATCATGGTCCAGCGGGCCCGCAAGAACGGCTTCCCCTTCTTCAACCGCCGCCGCGGCGGCCGATGGCACGACAGGCTCTCGGGGGCCTTCCAGGCCTACAGCCAGCTGGGCCGCGTCAAGGTCCGGCCCACCACCGCCATCTCGGCCCTGGCCACCATGCACGAGGACATCTGCCACGTGGCGGAGACCAAGCGCGTGGCAGTCATCATCCTCCCCTTCCACAAGCAGTACTGGGGCGACGACTCGGTCGAGAACGTGGGCCACGGCTGGCGCGGGGTCAACCAGCGGGTCCTGAAGCACGCGCCGTGCTCGGTCGGGCTGCTCGTGGATCGCGGGCTGGGCCAGGCTTCCCGGCCCAATCCGAGCCAGCGGGTTTGCGTTTTGTTTTTCGGTGGGCCTGATGACCGCGAGGCCCTGGAGCTGGGCGGGAGGATGGCCGAGCATCCGGCCGTTAAAGTGACGGTCGTTAGGTTCGTTGAGAGAGAAGAGGCGGACGGCGTCAGCAAGGCCGTCACGCTGCGACCCTCGCCGTCGAAGTCACCCGAGCAGAACTATAGCTTCTCCACCGCCGTCATGAACCGCCAGAAAGAAGAGGTAAAAATTTCTCAACCAAGCATTTTCAGTAGAGATGGCAAATGAATTGGTGGATTGGATTGGTAAATGCATGGATCAAATAGATTAGTGGATTCATGAATTATATGAAGTGAATTGGTGGATTATCCATGAATTCAAATGACATTCTCTACCAAGGACCAATATGTAAAATGTGAAAAGTTTAGGTACTAAAATGTCATAATAAAAAAATTTAGGTACCAAAATGTAATTTTTTAATGATATTTTTCGTATAAAAATTAAATTTTAAATATCAAAATGTAAAATATAAAAAGTATAGATACCAAACTGTAATTTGCCATTTTAATCATATATAAATATATTGGTAAATTGGATTGAGAATTGTCACCTCTAATTTTCAGCGACATTGGGATAATAATTTTTTATGGGTTAGCCAACTTGAAAATAACGACACCGTATTGAATGTGGAGCAGGAACTAGACGAGGCGGCGTTGGGGGAGCTGCGAAGCAAATGGGAGGAGGCAGTGGAGTACAAGGAGAAGGTGGCGAGCAGCAACGTGACGGAAGGAGTGGTGGCGTTGGGGAGGAGCGGAGATTACGATCTGATGGTGGTGGGGAAAGGTAGGTTCCCGTCGGCGATGGTGGCGGAAATAGCGGACCGGCAGGCGGAGCATGCCGAGCTGGGGCCGATAGGCGATGTGCTGGCGTCGGATAGGAACGGCGTCGTTTCGTCGGTGCTTGTGATTCAGCAGCATGACGTGGCACATGCGGAGGAGGTGCCGGTGGTGAAAGTTGTGGACAATGGTGGTGGTGGTGGGTCGTCGTCGGCGGCGGCGGCGGCGACGACGGGAGAGATGGGCGATAGTGTTGTGTGATGAACTACTGATTATGATTAATAATTACCTAGCTAGTGGCAATCAGATATATTCAGGGTTTTCAAGTGTAAATTTTTATAAATAAAACATGTTGTAATTAACTAATTATATATATAAATATTAATGTGTGTATGATAATGATATTGCTTCAAATTATAAAAGGAGTGCGGAGTCGTCGTTTTCCCAAGAGCTTTGTTTTCCCCTCTTTCTTCTGTGGAAGTGTCTATTTGCCTCCTCCTTTAGTGGTGGAAATGGAATCATCTTTTTTGCATCAACCATGATTGGTTCATCTCAGTGGCGGATCTAGGGGGCCACGGCCCAATCCTCGCCGGATACAGAGTTAGTATCGTACTTGTAAATTTTCGAGTTTAGGTGTTCGTTTAAGTGTTCGACGGGCTATGACCCAGCCCCCTCTCCACCTCTTTTGAAATGTGGTCCAGTACTCTACCTCGTTCTGGATCCGCCGCTGGTTCATCTTGGCGAGGCAAAGTTGTACGTCAAAATAGTGAAAAGAGAAAAACTTCAATGAGATTTTGGGGTTTCAAACCTGAAAATAGGGGTTGGTACCAATGACAGAACTGGTGGCTTAGGCCTGCTTTGGAATGATGATATACATCATAGTTGTTCATCTCTCTACTTCGTTCTATCACGCGTGATCACGTCGATGTTAAATTATTATTTCTCGAAGAAGGATCACGTGATGATTTAGATAGACTAAATAAAAATAAAAGATAATTTGACACCGATAAAAGGGATGGCGTGAAATTGATGAAAATATGATAAGTGCCCAGAAAATCCCTTGAATTTTGTAGTCTCATAGATTGTGGGTGAGAAGGCTACCCTTAATTACCTTGGGGAATAGATCTTGTGACGAATACATCGAGAAAGAATATATCAATGTTATGCTTTTTCTTAAACGAAAACAACAGTTTAATCTCTTCAAGGTAACTCATATTGAATGGGATGGGTCTAATCACTACTATATGATGCTACATACTAGGGTTTTTGTAGAATCTATTTAATATACCTATAGTTGTACAACTAGAAGGTAAATTAAACTCTAAAGATTCCAATTGTCATTGATGCCCTAGCTTCTTGCCACAAATTTGCATTTAGGATGTTAGAGATTCTTGCATACTTGAGAGATCTTCCTATACAATATAGACAGTACAATCAGAACCAATTATTTAGAGATTTTAGAACGTTTACTACTTCTAGATTCATATCATATTCAAAACTCCACTAATTCCATTATTCTTAATAGCAAGAACTTTATTACTGCAATATTTCTCAATTTGAAAGGATATATATTTTCATAAAATCATCATCATTACATTCAACAGGAGTACGAACATTTAAAATATAGAACCTATATACCTTAGTATTACAAACATAGCCAACAAAAACTTATTCATATGCTTTACCTATCCAGTTTGACTCTCTTAGGAATTCTCACAACAACTAAAAAAGCATAAAAAGATAGAAAACACAAACTAATAGGTCTAATAATAACTCATTGATCAAATAATTACAATATTCATATGAAATCAAGTAAAAACTTCTAAAACTGCTTTAACAGACGGAAAAAAAATGTATCAAATATGAGACTGATGATGAACATTATAATTGAAATGTCATAAAAATTCAAATATACGTGTCACTTCAATGAACCTACACAACACAATCCACGAAAAATACTCATTTGATGTACCAGATATGCTTGACCACACCTATTTTCCTTTCTGTTCTGTTCTGACAAAACATCGAGCACTTCTCTTTTTCATCCATGCAATATTAATTACTGAATTAGCATCGAAGAAAAAGGAGCACTTAAGTTTTCCACATGCGAGACTAACATTTGTTAATAATATCCTAAAATCCGGGAGATAAGGAGTCGACCAGCCACTAATGCACGATTCTTAATTGGAATAATTTTATAAATATTATTCAATATATTATGGAATATTCGTAAATGTGCATGGCCATACAGAATATGCTGCCTCCCTTAGATACGCACTTCCTGAATTTCTTGTTGCTTACTTGCTTTCCGTTGTGAATGCTTGAAATAGGAGTTTGAACGAACCAATTCTTTTATTCGATGGTTTGCAGAGCAAGACAAATCACAAAAGAATAAAGGAAGAACCCCTTAACTATACTACCTCTATATTTGAAAAAAAAAACTACAATATATTAAGTTGCTGCCAATAGAAAATCGTATAGTTGCATTACCAAATTACAAGGAAATCGTTAATAAAAGGAGCAACTCTAATTCTATGTTGTCAATGCTAGGAATGACAATGGGCAGGTCCGGGCAGATATCTCGATACCCATACCCGCCCCGTGGCAGGTCGAGTCCGGGTCGGATAATTTATCATGGGGCGCGGGGGCAGGTCGACCCATTGGGTATATAATTTATGCGAAAAACATTAGAATTATTCATTATTTTAATTAAAAGACCAAGAAAGAAACCATAATTTGATAAAATGTAGTTAAATTATTGGAGAAATTGAGTTTTTAACTTACAACTTTATTATACCTAAAATATGATGTAGTAAGAGGAAAATCCTAAGTAATTTGACTAGGATTACATGTAACTTAGGCCAGAACGGGCCGAGAATGGGGCGGGTCAGGGCAGGTCGGGTCGATGAGAGGTACCCATTCCCGCCCATAACAGGTCAAACAGGTCGGGTAAATCGGATCAAATCGAAATTTCCATCCCTAGTCACTGCAAGCCTAAGTACAACAGGTTTGACACTTCTAATTAAAGGAGCAATATTCATTGACGGCGGAATTTAGCCCTGGTGAATATTATTCGATTCGGCACGCGTTGGGCGTGTAGTATCCGACCTTTAGTAGCATGAAACGGAATATGAGTATTATTTATGCCCACTACAAAAAAAATTCATTTTTATCATAAAATTTTAATCACGTGATTTTTTTTCCTGACTAAATGTTTACCTACTATCACCGGAAATAATTCATGTGCTTAATTGTGCCAGACAATTTTAATTAACAATGAAGTATTATCCCGTGATGCTTGATTGTGAACTTCCCATGACAAATGAAATTTTATTTTGCGCGGAGTGAAAGACCATGTATTCACCGATAAGAATATTTCTTTTGACTCCATCAATTCAAATATTTTTCGTTTTCACTCTAGGATAAATCTAGCATTTTGGCTCCATCAATCCAAATATTTTTTCCCGTTTTTACTCCGAGGAGAAATCTAACCTTAGATATCTTCTTGTGTGGTGTTGTAGTTTCTCGTAAACCCAGCCCCAGAAAATAAATAATCTCCTTGTTCCTTCTTTTTTTTATCAATCATTCTCATCGACTGTGGAATGGAACGCATCTCCCTCACCTTGTGGGACTGACGAAGTTAGTTACGATCTACATGAGAGAATTGCAAGAGTTCTCTATTTTTCATTTATAAACCTTTTTTTTTTGTTTTATTACTAAGTAATCAATATTTCTTCAAATTGCTAGCTAATTGCTGCAGGCTCTCTCCACAAAGAAAGCGGGGAGTTGAAACAGAGAACAGTTCTCTCCCAATCGTATAGCGATCGAGCTAGCTACTAGCATGTCGTTGAACATAACAAAAATAAAAACATCGACCGATGGAGCTTGGCAAGGCGACAACCCTCTCAACTCTGCTTTCCCTTTGCTCATTCTTCAGACCATCCTCGTCCTCTTCATCACCCGCTCCCTCGCCTTCCTCCTCCGCCCCCTCCGCCAGCCACGTGCGAGTATTATCTGCTATGAACCATGCTTGTTGTGAAGTAAATATGAGCATTGAGCTACCCACACCGTCCTGTAGTCACTAACTCGAACAATCATTTTCCCATTAATTAGATAGCGACCTAGCTTTATCAAGTGTTGACTCCTATAATTAATGGCTAATGACACTCCTAATGATGAAATGTTTCACTCCACTTACTACTCGGGAATAATTGCTTTTACTATTTCTCAACTAATTCCTAATAACTAAGCTCACTAAGTTGGAATATTTCACTAACTAAGCAAACTGAAGTATAAGCAGATCAAATCACAAGAGTGGCATATCTTGTTTGTTTTTTTGTGCTTCCTTTCATCTTTTTTGGGTGGGAATGAGGCTGCTCCATCCCCTGCATTAATCCTAACATTGACATAGACAACCCAGGGCCAAGCACCAGCCACCACCTCCACTTTCTTTCTTCTTCATCACCTTTATAAAACCCCACACATTTATTCCCTTCAACACTACTTACTGATCAAATCCACCTTCCTTGCTAGCTAACAGCTGCAGGCTCTCTCCACAAAGAAAAGCGGGGAGTTGAAACAGAGAACGGTCCTCTCCCAATCGTATAGCGATCGAGCTAGCTACCAGCATGTCGCTGAACATAACAAACATAAAAACATCGTCCGATGGAGCTTGGCAGGGCGACAACCCTCTCAACTCTGCTTTCCCTTTGCTCATCCTTCAGACCATCCTCGTCCTCTTCATCACCCGCTCCCTCGCCTTCCTCCTCCGCCCCCTCCGCCAGCCACGTGTCATCGCCGAAATTCTGGTTCGCCCCCCCAAATATTCACATAAATTTAATTATGTTCTATCCCACGAAAAAAAATATTGATTTTGTTTATTTTATTTTTTATTTTTTTGAAGGGAGGGATTCTGCTAGGGCCGTCAGCGTTGGGCCGAAACAAGCAGATCTTCCACCTGGTGTTCCCGTCATGGAGCACTCCAATCCTGGAGTCCGTAGCCAGCATTGGGCTCTTATTCTTCCTATTCTTAGTGGGCCTGGAGCTGGACCTGGCCTCAATCCGCCAGTCCAGCAGGCGGGCCTTCTGCATCGCCCTCGCCGGGATCTCGCTCCCTTTCCTCTTCGCCGCCGCCGTCTCCTTCGTCCTCCGCCGATCAGGATTCGACGACGAGGTCCCCTACGGCCAGCTCCTCCTCTTCCTCGGAGTCTCCCTCTCCATCACCGCCTTCCCTGTTCTCGCCCGCATCCTAGCCGAGCTCAAGCTCCTCACGACCCAAGTGGGCCAGACCGCGATGGCCGCGGCCGCGTTCAACGACGTCGTGGCGTGGATTCTCCTCGCGCTAGCTGTGGCCCTCGCTGGGCCCAGTGGGCCCAGCTCAGGCCCACTGGTGTCCGTCTGGATCCTCGCCTCTGGGCTGGGCTTCGTCGCCTTCATGCTGGTTGTGGTCCGCCGGGTCATGGAGTGGATCGCCAAGAAGTGCTCCTCCCCGGCGCCGGAGCGGGCTTTCGCCGACGAGGCCTACATCTGCCTGACGCTGGCCGGAGTGATGGCTTCCGGGTTCATGACGGATCTCATCGGGATCCACGCGATCTTCGGCGCGTTCGTGTTCGGGTTGACTATCCCGAAGGGCGGGGAATTCGCCGGCAGGGTGATGAAGAGGATTGAGGATTTCGTGACGGGCTTGCTGCTGCCGTTGTACTTCGCGTCGAGCGGGCTGAAGACCGACGTGGCGAAGATTCAGGGGGCGGAGGCTTGGGGTTTGCTGGCGGTGGTGATATCGACGGCTTGCGCCGGGAAGATACTGGGGACGTTCGCGGTGGCGATGATGTGTATGATGCCGGCGAGGGAGTCGTTGGCGCTTGGGGTTTTGATGAACACCAAGGGATTGGTGGAGCTTATTGTGCTCAATATCGGCAGGGAGAAGAAGGTAAATAAAAGCTCAATTTTCACTCTTTTAGTTTTCTTTTTTTTTAAAAATATTTCACTCTTTTAGTTGCCGAACATATTTCAAATCGATTCTGAATGCGTGTTAATAATGATTCTAGTTTTGATCTAAACAATTAACCACTCGAAACATGTCGTAAACTAGCTGGTCTTAATAACTCTAGACTTTGAAAGAACGTTATTATGGATTTTATATCATTCTCTAACACGCCCCCGTCAAACGAAAGCCAACTCACGGACTTGAAGATATTGGGGGTCGTGGAGATTCAAACACATCATGACCATTTAGTTAAAACAGTTCTGATACTATGTAAAACCAGTTCATTCCAATAACTCGAGTTTTTGGAAAAAGGTTATTATGGATCTTATATGATTCTCTAACAAACCAACTCATTCAAATCGCATATTTGTGATACTTTTTATAGACAAAATAAAGTGTCTTTTTATGACTTGAATTCATGTCATTTAGGTGAAAATAAATATTACGACTGATTACTGATTAGACGACGGAAAATTTTGTTGTTTTTTAATATTGATACATCAGTTAAATGGTTGTATTTTAAGATTATGACGTTCGGTAGTTTTGATTATATTCTTATAAATAAAATAGGAAAACTACTTACGAATAAGAATTTGATCTAATGATAATACCACTAATCTAATATTGAAGTCAACCGTATATAATATGCTGAGGAGACACATAAGAAAAATAAATTAGCTCACAATCTTAAAAATTTCATCAAATAGTTTAAATTCTAAATCAATCATTTTGAAAAAATTTCAAATGTCATATTTATAATCTACGAAATGACACTATATGGATGGGGAATTTCTCTATCGTGAAGATAGTGGAGACAATATTATAATTTCCCATGTATTTGCACAAGTGGGATGGCTTGGATTCGACCGCCACTTCATTCATAATTTAATTTCTAATTGTATGTCACTCTCATTGCCTATTATTCTAATATTCTTTTTCAACTTTTTGCTAAATATATCGTGCGCGAGAAATGCAAATGATGTTGCCTGATTCTTGGATCCAGGATTTTCCCATCATTTTGTTCAGGAAAAGTTTAAATAAGATTCCTAACTTCGTATTACTTGTTAAGTGTTATTCTTTGGCGATTTGATTAGATGTAACCTATTAAGATTATATTTAATTACACACACGAGCTAATGACACTTTGTAATATACTGTCCCGGCCCTTTGTTACAGTTATTTGAAACTCCTATCAAATCAACCAAAAATGTTTATTTTAATTAAATTAAACTAACTAGATAGAAATCACAACTAACTAGTAGGGAGGACACTAGAAATGAGAGAGTTACTTAGATTTGAATCCTTCTCGCGCTAGAACGATATGTGATCAATGCAAGCCTTAACAAAACTTTCCTATCCTCTAAGTTGCGAGAAATCTCCAAGACTAGTGATTGAGTCAATGCTCGTGCTCTCAATCATTTTTCTAGGTATCTAATTTAGCCCAATGGTCATGTAAGAACTTGGAACCTAGAGCATTAGGCCTAGACTTCTCCAATGGGTTAAATCCCTACGCAAATAAATCCACAACACAATGGTCATGCAATTACAACTTCACTCTATTGACAAGTATTCTAACCTTAACCTAATTATAATTGGTCACTCTTTTAGGGTAAGAAAACACATCCAATCACTTTATCAAGCTTGTGGATAGTAAAATTAAACATAGACATTGATAGATGAACTCATGAACACACTCTCGTGGACTCCCCTTCGTCAAGTGCTGAAAAATGGCTTAAATAGTAAAATCCAGCCCCAACCGTTAAACATCAACATAAGACATGTCATGGCTTGACCTTGCCTATGACCTATAACACAACGCTTGGTCATCAACCACAATCAAACATATTGACTGTGATCTTCAAAGTGATGTTGTGTCTTTGGCCACCATCTGGACTGTTAGAACCTCTGCATTTTCGGCATTTTTGTTTGAGTTCACAACCAATGAAAAAGATTCACTATCGACCTATCGTGACCTTTCAATTCATGATGTAGATCACAACTTGATGTGGTTGTGACCTATCATTTAGCCTCCTTCTCTCCCTCATATGCATTGCACTAAGTGCCCGGATTGACTCCAAATTGATCGCCAGTCGATGATGGAACACAATATAAAACACCATGCAAGCATAAAACATGGCAAAGTAGGAAAGCGCTCAAAAAGACATTAACTCTTGCTAAAACTCATAACTTCGAACAATTAAGTCATATTAGCACAAATAGATTACAATGTGGCTTAAGTACGATGATTGTCGCACACAAACACCTAAATAACGGCGGGTATAAAGTTCAAAATTTAGTGTTATCAATTACCCGTTAATCGCTCTTTAATTTGATTCAAATCATATGAGAGTAGCTTTACATGTTATTGAGTGTTTAATACTCAATAGTAGGTATTGAGTTTTTCAAGAAACAAAATTGGAGCAAATATTCTTGATAGCTATTAGTTATTGTAACTTCCAAATTATATATAGTTGTCTGTACACCTTCATTCAACTTATTGATATTGTACACCTTCTGGTCCAAATTTAAACAATCACCTTGACTCTGAACTTTGGACTTTGAACCCAGGTTCTCAACGACGAGATGTTTGCTATCCTCGTCCTAATGGCACTCTTCACCACCTTCATGACGACTCCCACAGTGATGGCCATCTACAAGCCTTCCCAGACCACCCGCCGCCGGTCGCACGAGCTCCAGGACACTTCCCAGCCGGAGCTCAGAATCCTCGCCTGCATCCACAGCTCCAGAAACGTACCATCCCTAATCAACCTCATCGACGCAACCACCAGCGCCGCCGCCAAACCCACGCTCCACCTCTTCGCCATCCACTTGGTCGAGCTCACGGACCGATCCTCCTCCATAATGATGGTCCAACGAGCTCGTCGAAACGGCCTCCCGTTCATCAACTGCTTCACCATACCGGGGACGAGGAGAGCTGCTTCCTCTTCCAACAACTACCAGATCGCAGCGTCGTTCGAGTCGTACTGCCACGCCAGCAGGGTCACCGTCCACCACTCCACAGCGATATCCGCGCTGCACTCGATGCACGAGGACATCTGCCACGTGGCGGAGGACAAGAGGGCGTCCGTCATCATCCTGCCTTTCCACAAGCAATGGACAATGTCGTCGGGCAGGGGAGGCGGAGAAGGCGATGGCGACGATGAGGGAGTAGAGAACGTGGGGAATGGCTGGAGGGTTGTGAATAGGAGGGTTTTGGACACCGCCACGTGCTCGGTGGCCGTGTTTGTGGACCGTGGGTTTAGCGGCGGCGGTGTAGATAGCCCGGAGGCTGCTGCTGCTAAGAAGGTTTGCGTTCTGTTCTTCGGAGGTGCCGATGACCGTGAGGCTCTGAAGATCGGGTGTGGGATGGCAGAAAACCCAGCTGTTAGTTTGACTGTGATCAGGTTCCTGGGCGACTCGTGCGACGAATCGGACGAGGCAGTGCTGAGCGAAGCGAAAGTAAACCTCGCGGCGGAGGACGAGTACATAGAGAAGAAGGTGGCGGCAAAGAAGGTGGTAGAGGAGTTGGTTAGCATAGTACGGGGAAAGGGTTTTCAGCTTGTGGTTGTGGGAAGAAATGGGGCTAAGATAGGAGACATGGAAGAACATCAGGCTGATAATCCAGAACTGGGCACTGTTGGAGATATACTCTTAGCTTCAACAGCAACAGGGACATCTCTGCTCGTGATTCAGCACCACGATGGCAAAGAGATGAAAGGCAAGGAATCTGTTGGAGAATGCTCTGTGTAATGTGTGTTTTACCCTAAGGGGTGTAAGTCTATTAAGATAGACTAGGGGTCGTTATGTACAAGTGCCAAGGCGTGAATGCTAAGCCCTGGTGAAATAGACACAACAACTGTAAGCTGCATAAATAAAGCAAGTCCGAGACTCGAGTTGCGTGTTCACACAGTTCGTCGTCATCGGTTTGTATACAGTGCAGACAATACGATCAAGAATGGGGATGAGCAGAGGATCTGATGACCCACACAGTGAAGAAAAAAACGAAAATGATACACAATTTGATTACAGCAGCATTACACATATATAGATTGAAAAACAAATTTTCGACCTTCGAATCCCCCAGGCAGTATTCCAATTCAGCAAAGGAAGAAAAGAAGAAGAAATAAGAACCAATCCCCTTCTGATGGGGAAGGGGTGGGGGGCTAGAATTCTCCCTGTTTAACACTCCAGATATTCCCTTGAAGGAATGAAGGTCCAATAAATTTTTTTCCACCAAGAAAGAAGAGACAATATAAAAAAAAAGACAGCAAAAGATCCGACATTTCTTCAGAAAAATATACCAACCTCGATGGATGCATCCCCTCAATTGTTGAGGATCTGATCCACAGCCACCCTACATTTGCCTGCCGGTGAAATTGAAATGTTACATCCTCACCATCCAATTTGCCACCATTTACGAGCCCACCATCATTACAGGGAAAACCCAGGATCTGGGCTAAATTGAAAGCCGACGGAATCTACCCAGAAGCAGAAAGAATCGCCATTAATAATGAGGCTGACAAAATCAGGAAGAGAATTCAAACAACGGATAGAGAAGGTAAGCAAGAAGTTTACCCTTAATCAAAACCTCCGCCAGTCCATGAAGAATCTGCTTTGCCATTGTGGCCAGTGGCTTTGTTGTTATTTGCAGGAGGCTGGTAGAAGTTATCACCAAATCCGTCATCTTTCCCATCATCCCATCCAGCCCATCCATCACCATCACTGTTTGATCCAGTGGGTTTTTTGTTATCAACCTTCTTGGTCTCCTTCTGATCCCAATCATCCCATGAACTATGAGAAGTGCTATTGTTCCCACCTGAATTATAGTTGCCACTCGAATTGTAGCCTCCACTTGAATTGTAGGTGCCACTCGAATTGTAGTTTCCACTTGAGTTATAATTTCCGCCTGATGAAGACTGTCCTGCTGCAGCACCAGGGTTAGAATTCCATCCTCTATTGTCTTGCTTATTGAACTCTTGATAATAACCGTTACTCTCATTCTCATTCTTCCACCCGCCATCTTTGGCATATTCCTCCACCTTCTGTGTAGCCAGTGCCATGACACCTTTCATAATCCCCCATGTTCTTTGTCCAATCTCTGTTGTTTTTGCAGTCACAACATTGACAGTTTCGTTCACCTTGTATTCATAACCACCTTCCATGACCTGTTCACATGGTTCCGCATATTAACCATCACTTATGGCACTTGCAAGGAAAGAGTACCCAGAACAACAAAACCATCTAGACCGCCAATTTCATAGATAATATCCGTTCAACATATAAAAACATAATTCCAAGGATAATCCAGCATTGTTACAAACTCGAATCAATTCGACTAGGCACTCAATGCACATTACCATTGCAGACAACAAATCGAATCTAAACTCAGTAGAAGGAGCATGCGCAAAATGCAGATAGGCAGACATAAGAGGTCGGTATAACAGGAATTTCATTCAGGGGGCCAGAATACCTTAGAGCTGATTTCTTTGGTGCCTGCTTGGACAACAGTAGCAGCTGACTGGGCTGCTGAAGCTGCCACCAGAGACAACTTGCCGAATCCCTAATCAAACAGGAGTAGGTGATCAAATAGATGAACAATTAAACGGAATGATCTGATCAAGCAAGTTTATGAAGAGCGCAAAAATCACCATTTGAGCCTACCTGAGAGACAACAGACAATACGTCTGGTTGTGAATTATTCATCTGAGAAGGCGGAGGGCCCGATCCAAACCCTACATACTTGCCACCTTGAGAAGGCGGCAGACCTTCGGGCCTCGACTCATTCTCTGCCATTCTTCTGGCAAAGAAGGTTTCTTTATTAGCAGCAGAGGCCTCCAATTGCGATTTGGTATAAATATCCTCGGTCGATCTCGACCTCGGGCGACCACCGGCCATGGCGCCGCTACCATTAGCCCTGAAATCGCCGATGGATTGGTTCCTCCTCAGGTCATCGGAGGATCTAATCGCATCGTCATTATCCCAACTATCCCAGCCACCATTATCCTTGGGCGAGGATTGAGAAAGCGGCGGCTTTCTGCCGATCCCGCCGCCGCCGCTTCCACCGCTGCCGCCGAGGGTTTCCTTGGTGGCGGGCGGGTCCCGCCAAGGCTTGCCCTCGGCCAACGCCTGGATTCTGTCGCGGTAGACGGCGGCGGCTTTGCTGTTGTACTTGGAGACGATATTGGTCTCCTTAGGGATTCCTCGGAGGGCTAGGAAAGAGTTGAGGTTCTCGTTGCCACCGGCCTCCATCTTCTTGATCTGAATGTCGGACCAGGAGTCCATGGTGACGGATCGGACGAAGGAGATGTGGACGCCGAGGCCGCGGTGCTTGCCGGAGCACTCAAGGCACATGAAAACGCCGTAGGAGACGGAGGCCCATTGCGGATTCTTCTGGGAGCAGTCTACGCAGATCTTGTTCGCTGGTTGCGATTGGAGATCCCGGAGGCGTCGAGCTGCCGCCATTGAATCCCGATCGGAACGTCCTTCTACGATCTGGGAACAGAATCGAAATTATTGAAATCCAATTGACGATTTGTCAAAAGAAAAAAAAAAATATAAAGGGGGGAAAAGGAAAAACGGATGGAATGAGGAACGAAGGGAAAGGAGGCCGATGAAATGTTGAGCTTGGATTCGACGAGTCAAAAGGGGATAAATAGTAAAGATTCAGACGAGAGGAATTAAAATTTTGCGGAAGGATTAACGAAACAGAGAGAGAGAGAGAGAGAGAGAGGAGAAAGAGAGGCAGAGAGAAACGGAGGATCTTACCGACACCGCGGAAACGTTGGTGGTAGGGATGGTGGTGTTTCTGCAGTTTCGCGTTATATCTTTTTTGCTAATTTGTTATGTGAGAGGGGGGCAAAAATGAACAAAAACGAAATATGGTATGTGATATTGAATTTAATGTTTCTTCTAATTTTAATTCTCCTCTTATCTTAAAAGTTCAAAATCTCGGTTGAACTACCTTAAAATTTTATAAAATCAATATTCCAAAAATTAATCTAGTATAAATTATTAATTTTTTGCGGTCTTGATTTGAACAAAGATTACCGTGCTAACACTCAATTTGTTAGCATGATACTGACACTAACTCTAGCTAATAGAACATTTCGTTTTGTATAAATTTTTATTTTAAGGGATTGACCGCAATTAATATTGACTTTAAAGGGGGTGGTTTTTAAAATTTATAGGAGGCACATGCGTGTGGTGCTACTATTTTATTCTGCGTACCACCCTCGGCACAATCATGAAGCATACCCCAAAACACAAACCATAAACACAATATACCACACTACAAATAACATAAAGTAGACCAGAAAACTTATAAAGCACACTAGTATATCACCACATCACAAAATTCATAAAGTATACAAGAAAACTCAAAGCAGACCACAAATCCCCTGAACCTCATAAAACATACTACAAGTTTCCTGAAAAATATTGCAAATCTTATAGCAAACCACAAGTTCTCTTAAACATATTAGAAACTTTGGACGTATATGGATCGAATAAATTGAGCGTTGATCACTTTAATCACCCAACTCATATACCACAGTTTACACATCATAAAACCCAAATCCAAAAAACAATTAGAACTCAACAATTTGGATCGGTCCGGATTGAAGTGTATACCAAGCAAAATCCAACCCAGTACAAGCTAATAGCCTAATACAGAGAAGGGCTATTGATATTGGGCTATGTGTGTGGGTCTTGGAAAATGGAAAGAAGAAAAGATAATATATTTGGGCCCAAAAGCCCACCCAATTCAATTCCCCATTTCTGCCTTTACATTTTCTTTCAGCGTTTGTTAGCTTGATCAAGCTGAAGACAGACATATTTTTGCTATACACTGGGTTGATTTGTTTTTAGAACCCAAACCCGGAACCAAGCTAGAAAACCAACGAGTCTTTATTCTAGCACCCTCATCCACCTATTTATGTATTTAACTTGGTTTTGCTCGGGTTTCGGGTTGGTTTGGGCAGGGGTGACACGAGTGGGTGGGTTTACAGGTCACTATGTTAACCACTATTAGAAACTCTATAAATCATACCACAAGTTCCTTGAACTATACCAGAAATTTTATAAATCAGACCACAATTTTCCTAAAGTATACCAGAAACCTCATCAAGCAGACCACAAGTTTTCTCAAACAAACCAGAAATATGTGCAACCACACAATAACTCACATCAAACAAACCAGAAAGACAAAAAAGCACACCAAAAATTTCACGAAGCAAACCGAAAATGTTATAAGGATGACAAGGTAAAGATAATATAAAAATTATATTGGCGAGATAATAATTTTTATAATGGCAAAATATTGAGACTATCGGGAAGAAGAGTCGAGTGTTCAAGTCTGATTTACTTGTAATAATTTTTTTAACAAGTAACCTGCTATTTTTTTTTTTTCTTTTTACAAAGAGCCAAATGAAAGTAGGGTGGAGGGCGGGAGGCAGAGAGCAACGGAAGAAAGGGGTTGAGGAAGGAGCTAAATAGCCTATTATGAGTTTTTTTTTTTTTTGAAAAACTACTGTGACTCTGTGAGTAGTAGTTAGTATAGTATAATTAATGAATTATTTGTACCAAAAAAAATTAATGAATTATGTTAGCATCCTATTCGCTCTCTCTGACTTGGAATAATTAGAAAAATAAGAAATTTTAATAAAATAATATCATAATATCATAATACTTGTACTTATCTTATCAAAAAATACTTGTACTTCAAATTCTATAATCTAGAAAAATATTAATCTATAGTTGTTTGTTTCTTCATGAAGTCCAAGTATAGTATAAGTTCATCTTGAACTTTTCTCACTGCATTCAAAATTTCTCGTGTTGTCTTCTCTAATTGCAACAAATAGTTTTGAAGAGTCGTTGTGGCTTCAAGCGATTACTTTAGCGTGACCGGTTTCGTAGATGTTGAATCATCATCTCCTTCATCATCATCTATATTTTTAGCACAATGAAAAAGTAGAATCCAAAAATTTATCATATGAACTTGGAATATTTGGAAGATATGATAAATATTTATGGTTATTCAACATAATTATGTATGAATTTGGAAAAATAAGATATAACAATTTTAGACACCCCATTTTGTCTGTGTTAAAACATATTTAATTAAACAAACTTTAGTTTCAATTTAAGGGTTGCAATAACAAATCTTGAATGATTTTCTAGCTAAACTGCATTTCTAGTGCTTGGGTTGAGTCTTGTTGGCCATAAGTCAATGAGATTAAACAATAGCAAATTTTGATTGATGCAATATGGTAGTGAAAAATAGGCTTGAGTTTGAATTTGGTTGTCATGCGAGTTAATTAATTCTTAAGACGTTGAGTCTTGTGGGAATGGGTCTCGATTTATAAATAGGAAAAGTAACAATCTTACGAAGACGAAACAATGCCAAATAACTATAATCATGATTATAATATACAATATTTTCAATTAATTATATTGTTCAAGAGTTACAATTAATTAGAATAGTAATTAACATTGTATTGTTATACAAAAAAAGAAAGTGGGCTCAAGTGCAAACTCAAACTCTGGTCAACTCGAGTCAAATCTCAAGCTCAAGTGAAGCCCAGTCAACAAGTCAAAACTCAGACCCAAATGAAACAGACAAGCCCAGCCAAACTTGAGACCCAATTAACATTGTACTTTTCGTCTTACGTGTAATGCGAGAATACATGTAAATATTAACATATTGGTTGCAGTGGAGGAGTTAGGATTCGAAAGTATCCGTGTCGTCTTTTCAAAATATAAAAAATATTAAATATAATTAGAAAAAATAATACCCAAATATATCGTTCATATATAATAACGAAATAACCAATCAATACAATCATTATTTTCATAAACAACCACGATACATTTTCATATTATGAGTTAAATTAAGTTTATGTATGCCTTTAAACAAGAAATGTCTTGTAATTTAGTAGTATAACACTCTTGTATTACCTAGATATCATGAATTCAATACTTAGTTTATACATATATGTGATATATTTTTTTTTTATCCTAGAAATTACCTGTGTCTTGGGACACATCCCAGGACCCTTGGCTCCGCCTATGATTGATTGGAGTTATAAGGAGAAACTATTACCCATAGATAACCATAGATACCCGAAACCCGAACGAGTATGAACATGGTTTTAATTTTCTACCCGTTTCTTATGTGGGTATGAGTATGGGTAAAACCCGAACTATTTTGGGTAGGGGAACATCCCGACTCATTGTCATCCCAAAATAACCGGACACATTTGAGAAAGTTAGAGAAAATAATATCAATTACCCTTTATATATTCAAATAGGTTTGACCCATTATAGAGAAATCATCGTCTCCCGGATCGGAACAAACTTTACACCATGAACAATTACCGATTCGGGAAAGGATCGGAGTGACCACGAGATGCCAATTGTAGTAAAGTCTAGGTGACAGACAGTCATGTGATCGGAGGCGGAGGGTTTATAAATGCGGCCCCCATTTAATTGGCTGGCTGATGTTTAAAGGTAGCCACTAGCAGCCACTAGTTATGCTACTAATTATCCCTGTGAATGGAGGAATGTGATGTGAATTGATGATTTTTTGTCATATTCATTCATTTCATTGACAACGATGGCCTTAGCCTAATTAAGCTATATGTGTTTAGTGTTCAATACAGATCCAGCGACTAGCATACAACAGAAATTAATGCATGTACTAACCTACCTACTAACTTAAACAATTGATCATTTGAATGATGAACAAATTAAAGTCTACAATTTGGAACAGGGACGTTGATTTGTTTGTAGGTGTAAATATAAAGCTTCTGCTGGTTTGCTTAATGCACGTACTGTTTTAAAATTGGCCTTTTTTAAAAACATAACTAGGGGATTCCTCATCATATGATTAATCGCACACTTAAGTGCGACTAGTGGGTCAAGGGAATAATAAAGAAGGTAGTTAACTTTCCACAAAATGAACCCATTTCAAACTACTCTCCACGCATCTTTAGGTCATTTTCTCGATTTGGATTTACAAATCATGAATCTCGACTAGACACTTTGAACATGATCTCTGCCAACTGCTCTTCCTTGTCACTAACTATCAGTACCAAGTAGGCACAAGCTTTGCCATCAGACATAATTTGATTCAACAATTTCTATAAAATTTATGATTTTATGAAATTGTGACAAATTTTGCTTGTTGTTGAGAGTTGGTTAATTTATTAACCATTTGAAAATATGGAACTAGATTAAAACTATAATTCCTGTTAAAAATAGCTATTTCCACTTCTAATGCCTATGTACTAGCCAAACACACCCCAACACCTACCTTACACGCCTAGTACTTTATTTAACCTTAGATTATTTGAATAGATTTGTTGGAGCAATAAATTAACAAGACAACAGCTATAAAAGAGAAAATCAAAATCAAATACAACACGAATCCCTGAAAATTGATAAAGCACAATTTTTCCCAACGCATGCAGAATACAAATACAGAAAGCACCAAACATATACAAAGAAGTATCTAATTAATTAATTAATTAAGGTTTTTTTTGGGTTTCCAAGTTGTTCTTGCCCTCAATATCTCCGACCCGTCCTCAAGGCACAGCAAATGGTCCACCTCCACCGGAGCATTATCGGCGCCGTTGCCGTTCCCACTCCCGGCGGCGGCTGCAGCATTACTACCACTGTTATTTCGTCTGGAAAGAGAGTGCACAACGGTATCTATAGCAACCTCTTTTCTGAACTGAATGGTCATTGCGCGCAGTTCGTGTCCCTCCGGAAGCGAGCGTGGGACGCTGTCCAGGATCCAATCCACGTATTTGACGTTGTTCACATGATGATTCACGTCCAAATCGAACCACCTCGACTGTACACATATCCCCCACATGCACCAAAAAAAAAAAAAACAAAGCGTTGTAACAAAACGGAGAATAATCCGTACACGATTTTTAGCGATATGAAATGATTGAACTAACCGTCAGGCCACTGGTGACACGTTCAGCAGTCTCGAAATCAAGTCGTGGCAATCGTTGTTCGTTTTTCGGGACTACAGACTCTTCCACCGGCACGATACAGCACGCGAGCTCGTCCCTCACTTCCTGCACGAACTTGTGCAACCTCCTCGTCTCATAGTTCATCATAACACATGTGCTGCAAAACGTTAACGTACGAGCCAGGAATGTTACAGTTAATTTTTGACGTAATAAATTAACCAATTAGTAAGTTACGTTATGTATATACATACTTGGTAGCTCGGACCAAAGTTTGACCGGTCTTCTCATTGAGGATGACCCAATCATTAGCCAAACCATTCTTCCCGACGGTGTATGTCCAAGTGTCCACTTGCAGCACATCACGCCTGCAAATACATAGCAGTCCCCGACCATATTTATTAGGGCTGACTATTTGGTCCAGACTGTTTGGTTTTATCCGAAACCGAATCGTATAACCCCGACCAGGATCGGATTGGGACCGGATAGCAAACAATGCAATCTCATATTCGGGCTTAGATTTGAGGTAAAAAACCGATAAAGACCGGATAAGAGGCCCCCAACACCTAAAATCAAGATAAAATTGGGACCGGACCGGGTCAAGACCGGACTATATCCAATCCAATCTTTGATCCTTATATTCCCGAAAAAACCGGACTAGGACCGGATCAATTTGGTCCAATTTAACCGGACCGGACCGTATAGCCACCCCTAATATTTGTATGTAATGATTAATGAATGTTGTACAAACGAAATCATCTCAAAATATTTACCTTTTACCGCGCGATGTAATAGTAAAATTATTATATTAAAAATTACCATGCAGGATATTGATCCACCACCATTTGGATACAAGTGATGACCCAACCGAGGTTGTTTTTTGTCATAAACGGCGTCGAAGCGAATCTCCCCAGCTCTACCCCCGAACACCTTGTAGCATGGTTACATGCCGAATCCTGCAAATATAAGTCAAGAGTGATCAAGGCCAATAAATGGGTATATATCAATAATAATTAAAATTATTTTATGACAATCCAATTAAAAAGCGTGAATCTATGCAGCAACACAAAAACCATAATCTTATAAGTTTTAAAGCGTGATTTCGCCTACATTTGGAACGTTAAAAACGTGAATTTAACTAGATTAATTATAATAAATAAACCTAGCTACGTGAGTGAGGCAAAAAAAAAAAAAAAATTATTACTGATTATAAAATAAAATTAGCATTATAACAATAACGAATTAGTCGTCACAAACCTGTATCTGTCTCATCAGTGCAGCAATGGTTGCTTTCTTGTGCCTATCAATGTCGAACGATCTAACCATCACGCGTTGCCTGTGAACCCGACCCTGTCGGACCCGACATCCATGAACCGATTCGGCCGCCAGCTGATCATGGAGCTCTTCTTCTTCTTCTTCTTCTTCGTCGTCAGGATTTGCTACGGCGATTTCGAGATCGTCGTCCTCAGCTGCTGCCGCCAGCAGCAAGTGATGATGATCATCAAACTTGTTGGCATTCGCAGCTCGTAGTGGTAGTACTGCTGTTTGCTCTTTGTTATCCCACAAGCTAAACCGACGAGGACGACGGTTAAACCTCAATGAGCGGTTGCTTACCCAAGGAACACGAACCCTTTGCTTAGAAATGGCAACGGCGGCGGCTACTCCAGTTTGGGCTGCCTGAAAGGATCGGGTCGACATATTGTTGCGTTGTTGTGCGATGTCGTTGCTAATTTGGTGCTTCAATCTCGATTTTTTATGGTTGGAATCCGTGTTTTATCAATCCGGTCCCACTTTGTAATTATGGGCTGGCTGCTGCTGCTGATGGTTAAAGATATCCACCACCCACTAGCAAGCAGCCACTTGTTTATGGCTTTATGCTACTAATGATCCCTGTGAATAGGGAACTTTAGGGCCACTGGGCCGAGAAAGGACTGTGATGTGAATTTATGATTTGGGCCAGGCCGTATCATTCATTCATTGACCACGATGGCCTTGGGCTAAGGCCTAAGAGCTATCAGAGTTAGCTGGTACATGTGTTTGGGGAGTAAGCACGCTACTTTGGTTGGTGAGCGGCCAGTGGCTCGATCACCCGAAGGCGACTAGTCTTAAACCAACGCCAGCGGTATATGGACGTCCCACATGCAAAAACCCAGCACGTACGGATCCAGATCACTCCACGTCCACAATGCAACTTCGCAAGGCACGTACGAAATGGTGGGTAGTTGTTAGAGGTTATTGTTGGGGGGGAATGGCTCGGCCTTGACCGCCCTATCGAATTGCGTCGTTCACAGAGCAACGCGCGAACTAAACCACTCACAACAACGCACGAGCGGATCGGCAAAAGGTCTAGATACGCGCGAATGTTACCGCGCTGCCACGATCGCAACCCAGGTTGACGCCGCCAGTCTCCAGCAAGAGTGGAGGCCGCGATGACATCATGCGCGTGTCCAAGACTCAAGAAACGACACCGAACGACTGACAAGGCTACTCAACCCTATTTGTAGACCTCATCATACCCTAAACCCCCTGTCTTTTCCAAGTGTCTTGTCATCCCGAATGCTCACCTACCAAGTGCTAGCCTATAAATAGAGCATTTACACCGGTGGGTGAGGGATCGGTTTTCAGCTCTATCTCACTAGAAACTTGAACTTTCTCTCTCCAACTCTCTCTCTCTCTCTGCTCAAAACCCTAACCTGGGATCAAAGGAAAGAAATAAGAAGGCTGTCATTCCATTCCATACTCGCACCCCACTCATCTCAGTGTTTCACTCCTACTCTCAGTTAGACACAAACAGTTACTCTCGGTCGTGCGGGCTTAGCTCTCAATTTATTCGGAGAACTAAGCAGCGTTCTCTCAAACTCACACGCTAGTAAAGGAAGATAAAGAAAGATAAGAGAAGTGGGAGAGGTCTCTATAGTGTGTATTACTAAAAAAATGTGGAATGAGTTACAAGTGAGGGAGATGGCTCGTTATGTAGGCATCTCCTCATACAAGGCATCAATACCTCTGATAATGGTCGCTCCCCATCATTATACCCATTAAGTTCTCCCCCATAGTGCACTCCTCACAATGTCGCTCATAATATGACTCATAAGTGCACACAATAAAACTCATTAAGGCAGAACACCACGTTGTCGTCATGTTGGTGACATGTCATCTCACACATGAAACAATCTTCCCTACCTATGCTCGTGACACCCTCGTCGCGTCCTTTTGATAGAAAGTCTCGAGATCAAGTCTTTTTTCTTTCAAAGCGTGAGCTCATTCTCCCAATACTAGCCTCGCTCTCCGGAAGGTTGCGCCACATGACCAAGTACTCCGCATAACTTGGATGAACGCCACTACGAGGAATGACACAATGGTCCATGAGCTCTTCAACTTCATGGTCATGTGTCTTGGTGGCGAGTGTTGGTGCGCGATGTGATTCCATCCGTTGCTCCTCCTCCTTGCCTTCGTTTGATTTGGCTCACATGAAAGACACGAGCGATCTTTAAATGCGACGGTACCTCCACCATGTACGCCACCTTGCCAAACCTCTTCACAATGGGGAATGGCTCTTCATAACGGTGAAGCAGTCCCTTGTGATTCGGGGCTAATTGCACATATTTCACCCCCTCCTTTCTTGATAGTTTGGCTGTGAAAATTATCGTCATTCGACCTATTTTACACTAGGGTGTGCTATTTTTGTTAGATTTCAGGTCCTACCGTGTGTGGAAATCTATAGAAATCGATTGGTCCATAAAATAAGGGTTTTTTTCAAACATAATGATTGATTAATTTGGTTTGGGTTAATACTTTAATATAACTCGTATTCCACAAAGAGTAAATGAGGTCCCATACCGTACCGTCCATAATTCCCAAAGCTAGCTGCATAGTGCCTGCACTCCTCAGAATGCCGCTCTGTTGTCTATTCATTCTTTTCCAAGGTGAATACTCCACATGCCATCATTTAATTACAATTATGGCCAACCCACAATTCCACATGCATGATAAAATTCAACTTCTCTACCTCCTGTCTACACTACACATCCATGTGCATTGACGAATATTGGTTGCAAAATTAAGTGATTTGAAGTCGATGCAAATACACAAAACGCATACCTGCTCTCCTCTGCAAAACCCGTCTTTTGTTATACTTATCTTGTGCATTACTAGAGTAATGCATTCAAACAATGCATTTACGATTTTACCCATTGTCTAACGTAATCAAAGTGGATGACACCTTTCTCACTGGAAAATACAAGGACACAGTGCTTATTGCTACGAGTGTTGATGGCAACAAGAAAAATTCCCCCCTTGCATTTGCTATACTTGAATTTGAGAACAACTCAAATTGGACTTGGTTTTTCTGTCAACTCTACACGCATTTAACTCAATGGAGGGACATTGGAATACACATGTAATCTATGATTTCCCTGAGGAGTTTGGGTGGAATGGCGATGGTGCATACGACGCGTTAAGAGCAATTATAGTCAAATTTTTGGGCATGTATCACAACAATGATTTGTTTGGAAGGCCTGTAAGTATAATTTAGGTTTTCTTCTTTCTTTTATTTGGTAGTGGGTTTTTTTTAATAACTCATACGTTATTTTTTCAGTTATTGTTTACCAACCTCGAAAGTATGACGAAACAATGAAGAATATAAGAACGTCTATTCTAAATGAGCAGATTGGCTAGAAAGTCATGATTTTGAGAAGCGGGCATTACATCATGATTTTGCAATGATGAACATGAATGAGATGCTTAATGGTTTATATGTTGACATCCATGCAATGCCAAATTGCCAATATCAGTTTCTCATATTGCATACCTTCTTCAGGTTGGTTGAACGGTTCGTAAAACGACATCAAAAGGCTATCAAAATGGTTGACAAATGGATACATCATCCAAAAAACTCACCAAAGACATGGAGCCATGGAAGAAAATTCTAACTTGCTTACTTGCATAAGGTGACTTTGTTCAACTTAGGGCTGGCTATTTGGACCGGGACCGGATGAAAAACTGAAACCGGACCGTATAACCCGGACCGAGACCGGACCGGGACCAGATAGTAAACAATCCAATCCAATCTTTGGGCTTAGATTTGAGGTAAAAAACCGGATAAAGACCGGATAAGAGAGCTCAACACCCAAAACTTAAGGGTAATTTGCATAAACGGTTACAAACCTTTGCACTTAGTACAAAACTTAACCAACTCCTCACCCTTTTAGGCCTTAGGCCACTCAAATTCCCACAATCTCAATATAAAATCAAGACCGAATTGGGACCGGACCGGGTCAAGACCGGACCGGATCAAGACCGGACTGTATCCAATCCAATCTTCGGTCCTTATATTTTCAAAAAAATCGGACTGGACCGGATCAATTTGGGCCAATTTAACCGGACCAGACCGTATAGCCACCCCTAGTTCAACTGACGATATGTCATTTTTTCAATAGGGACGAGGAGGCCCTCTGTCACCAAGAAACGAGGTCATGCTCAAAAAGTCACATTTGTACTCCCGTGTGGAAGAGGGAATGCAGTTGCATGAAGTTTCAAGGAAGACACTTGCCTTCCTCTCATTCATATGTCGCTGTCAGAAGAGTGTAATGGACCCATTTTGATTTGTTAGTACATACTACAAGACTCATTTAGTCGTCAAGGTTAGGGATCACACATTCATGTCTTCGGCTCATGAAGTTTATTGGAATGAGTACCTTGGAGCATAAAACTGATATGGGTAGATCACAACAAGTTTCAAAGTAGTGCTTTGCATGTCGAGTTGAAGGGCATGAGAAGTGCAACTACCTAGGAATGGGAGATGACTTTTAATGTTTATGTGTTTATGTTGTAATGAATATGTAGGTATTTTACTTTGTTTTAATGAATTTTGTTATGCATCAAAATTTATTTTCTTCTCTCCAATAGTAGTAAGTGTTCGGTTTTTTTTTTCTTAGGTTTATGAAATGATCGTGGTTGATTATAGAGATCGAAAAAATCAACCAACTAGTTCACTGCCACGCCAAAATCTAGTAGTTTGAGAAATTTTAGTGCATATCTTGAAATTTTGTTTAGAGAGACATATTTTGGGAAAACATCGAAAAAAATAGCACCTACCTATTAATTGGTGAGAACCCCACGTCAAAGCACTTCATGGTCTCCTACATCGGGCCAAGATCAGGTGACTAAGGGGGGTTCCCTTAGTCATGTGACTAAGTGCATCTCAGCCATCCAACCTCATTTAAATTCAAAGGCTCAGATTAATCCAATTTAAGGAAGGACAATATAGTAATTGCATTACTTTATTATTTTTCAATTATTAATTAATTAAAAAATAACGTGCCCACTGCCCGCCTCTCGTATTCCCTCCCGCCGGCTTACCTTTGCTCCGCCGGCCACTTTTATTCTCAGCGGCGCCGGTGATGGGAATAATCCCCCTCCCAGTGCCATTTTTATTCCTTTGCCCTGCTGTGAGAGAGAGAGAGGAGGAAAGCCACTGCCATTTTTTTCCTTTGCCCTGCTGCCATTCCTATGCAGAGAGAGAGAGAGAGAGAGAGAGAGAGAGAGAGAGAGAGAGAGAGAGAGAGAGAGAGAGAGAGAGAGAGAGAGAGAGAGAGAGAGAGAGAGAGAGAGAGAGAGAGAGAGAGAGAGAGAGAGAGAGAGAGAGAGAGAGAGAGAGAGTGTGAGAGAGAGAGAGAGAGAGATTTCCGGTGACCGGAGGAAATTTCCCGGCGACAGTGTTGGATTTGTGATGTTTGCTGACCTATTTTGTAATGTTTGTATAGATTTGGTTTGTATTGATTGTTATTTTTTGTGACATTTTGTACGGTTAGTATGTTTTGTACTGTTTGTCGGTTTATTTTGTAATGTTTGTACGCTTTGTTATTTTGTAATGTTTGTAAGTTTTTTTGTAATGTTCGTAAACTTTGTTATTTTTGTGAATCGTGTTTATCATTTTTGTCAACCATATTTGTAAATTTTTTTTTGTCTAAAAAACAACCTGGTTGACTTTTGGATGGAACTTCTCTATATAGGGATAGAGCCTCCAAAGTCAACCCGGGTGTTTTTTCCCGTTCGTATGGATTGTCGGTCTAGTTTGTCATTTTTGTCCACCATGTTCGTACTGTTTGTATGTCTAAAAAACACCCGGGTTGACTTTGGGAAGGAGCCCCTCTATATAGGGATGGAGCCTCCAAAGTCAACCAGGGTGTTTTTTCCCATTCGTATGGATTGTCGGTCTAGTTTGTCATTTTTGTCCACCATGTTCGTACTGTTTGTATGTCTAAAAAACACACGGGTTGACTTTGGGAAGGAGCCCCTCTATATAGGGATGGAGCCTCCAAAGTCAACCCGGTTGTTTTTTCTTTTTGTATGGTTTGTATTGTTTGTCAGTCTAGTTTGTATTGTTTGTACAGTTCATACGTTTATAATGTTTGTATGTTTTGTCGCTCTAGTTTGTACTGTTCATATGTTTGTATGGTTTGTACTGATTGTAAATCCGGTTTGTATACTTCGTAATTTTTCATAATACCCAAACTACCCCTGTCATTAATTAAATAGTCCTTCCCACTTTTTAACCATTGGATTGAAGTGTCCAGATCTAATAGATAGGAGGGGCTTAGTCAAGTGACTAAGGACCCCCCCTTAGTCACGAGATCCGCTCTCCTCCTACATCCCAGTTGCCTTTGGACGTCTTATAACCCACCTCGGATCCAAACATACTGAACCACAAAAATTGGGCCCAAATGTTACTTGGACCACACTCCAATATGTCCAAAACATCACAACATCGTTGATACTTGATACACGAAATATTTGCGTGTACCAATCCAAAGAAACGGATCTTTTTTTGTGAGAGTTGGACCCAAAAAACCAGGTTTCATGACTGGGTAACACACTTACATTACAGGTGATTCATTCATTGCATGATGAGGAGGCCAATCTAATCAACAAAATCACGATCTACAACTAGCACAGACGATTATCTTATCTCACCACCAGAATCACTCGTCTCTTATTGGTTGACGCATTACATAGATCTGACTGATCTTTTTCTAGTTTGGTAATTTTCATGACTCGAGAGATTTCCGAGTCTTGTTTGAACATTTTATACAAGTTGGCGTCCTTTTCGCGGTGGAAAAAAAAAATCATCGTTGAGCAAATCGAAACAGGTTTAGCTTCATCGAGGCAATCATGATGTGGACTGAAACTCACAGCACAGGAACTCAGTAATGGGAGTACCGAAGAGGGGCAAGTGGGGAATGGGGAACATTAATGGTCATGAGGTGCTTGTTTCTAGCAATTGGTACTGAGTACTGGCCAGAAGGTATGGGAGAGAAGCAAAACTAGCTTTTAATGAAGACAACTAGTTCATTGAAGTTGAAAGTGGTGGGAGGCTACAGCTAGCTTAGCCAGAAATGGCTGCCATCAAGAAAAGTAAGATTGTATTGGTGTCCTATTAACATCAAATTTAATTTAGGGACCGTTGTTGTCAAAATTGGCCACTGGAAATTAGCTGTGGAACAGGATTTGATTGAAGGAAGTCCTCCCAACTTGATTTTGGGTCTCTTCTGGAGGATGGTGATATAAGTACACCTATGGAAGGGTTAAAGAAAGTTGCGATTTGTGTACTGCTGCTTTAATGGGGAGGTAAAGCAGGTTGCGATTTGGAAGGGTTTGTATAATTCGACTTACGATTGAGGTATGTTTCGGAAAAAAATCACACCTGGTGGGACTGGTTCAAAAAAAAGGTGAGGGTTTGTATAATTCGACTTACAATTGAGGTATGTTTCGGAAAAAAATCACACCTGGTGGGACTGGTTCGAAATAAAGGTGAGGATTTGTATAATTCGACTTACGATTGAGGTATGTTTCGAAAAAAGTCACACCTGGTGGGACTCGAACCCACAATCGTTTGATTAGAAGTCAAACGCCTTATCCATTAGGCCACAGGTGCAATTGATATTAACTTTTATCAAAATGGTTCATTTTAAAATAACGCGGAAGATGGGGTAAATAAATATAAATAAATGATTACTTAATAATAATGATGAACATACTATCATTGCAATTAACACCGACGACAAACCTACAGCAAAAAAAAAAAAAAAAAAAAAATTAACACCGCGACAAAAGTCATGACGACGTCAATGGGCAAGGATAGATGGTAACCTATTATCCATACCCGCTTTGCATTAAGCAGCGCGCACAGATCATATTGGTTAGTACTCACGGTTTGATACGAGGTTCTACTCATTCTCACGCGTAGACCCTAACAAAACATAGGTCGGCTAATATCCACCCTAGCCATAGGTCAAATGGAGTAATGCAGGACGGGAGTAGTTCCCTAACAGACATACGACCCATACCTGTATGTACATACTTACTTCCTTCCTACCCCCATTCCTTTCCCTATTCCTATTCTTTGACGGAGTCCGAGTAAATTAAAGTATTAAACCCTCCCACCACCAGTACTCTGAATACCTACAATTGGCTTGTCATAAATAAAGCCCCTTCCTTCCTTCCTTCCTTCATTCATCTCCCTCTGCCTCTGCGTGTATATATACACACACAAATAATACACCCACGCAAAACATAGCATTGCCCTCTTATTCTTACTTAGTTATTTCTCTCCTTCCTGAGTTGGGGAGGCGGCAGTCACCTATTCGTCACTTAACTTTCGCCTTCCTCTGTTCTCCTCTGCGGGCGGAATCGAGAAGCAGCGTACGTCTGTCATGGTGAGCATAATTTCGCTGGTGACGGGAAGGGCCGGGCCGAGCGGGTTCGGTTCGGCTTCCACCGCCGAGCTTGTTACCGAAGGAATCGACGCCTCTCATCTCACCGTCCTCATCACCGGTATGTAAAATTAGCAGCAGCCCCACATTTGTGCTCTGTTCTCTTGGTGAACTGAACATTGGATTTTTGGGTAAAAGCCCGCTAATTGACTTCAATGGCCGGCCGGCCGGGTGGCTGGCTGGCTGGCTGGTGGAGTTGGTTTCTCTGGAACCCCATCCCTTTTGTTTTGGCACCAGTGGTTTTTTCCCCCCGGAGACGGTTGGTGTGTTTCCTCGCAGCATCCCTTTTTTGGGCTTTTGTTTGGGCTTCTTTTGGGCCTGATTAGCCTCCTTCCTTGCGATCCTTTTTTAAGTTTTCCGCCATGTAGATCCCACCTCGTCCCACAAATTCTCTTTGCCCAACCTCAATCCTCCTCTTACACTTCCTTTGTCTTTGTCTATAGGTTGAATAATACCAAGGAAAATGTCTCATGTTTCATAGTGGGGAAATCTCCGTACAAAAGTCATATTTTCCACATAAATTCACCAATAGTCATGCGGCATCGAATCGTACCCAATCGATTACTTTGGAAAATATTTTGATTTAGTTTTGATTTATAAATTATTTTAAGTATAAAGAAATAAAATGAACTAAAATTTAATTTGTGGAACCAAACATTCTTTTTGGTCTGGTTCTAATCGGCATTTTCCCTTTACTTTTGGGTTGGTCTTATCTCGATCCCGATTGAATTGACCAATGTTCACCCCTTTTCTATGCAACGTAGAAACACAAATAAAAGAATTTATTGATTGACGAACGATATTAACAAAAGTGCGTGAAAAAAAAATCAGTTAAGCGCACGAATATAAGTAAACTGTGGGAAGTGTTAAGAGTATAAAAAATCAGTTAAGTGCACGAATACAAGGCAATGTTGCCGAATAATAAATCCTACTGCTTTACAGATGGTGGAAAAAAATTCCATGGATAGTGACGTGAAGGAGAGGAAGAAAAAGAAGAAGAATTCCCTGGATACTTAGGTTGACTAACATCGTCGTGTGAAATAGAGGAACTCAATTTTTTGCTCAGATGGGAAAGCTGATTATTGTCTGGTTTTGTTCCATGCATACGAATATACATATGATGGTGATTGTAATTCCATTTCCAATTCCCATTTCAGGAGGTGCAAGCGGGATCGGACTGGAGACGGCAAGAGTAATGGCACAACACAAAGCCCACGTCATCATCGGCGCCAGGAACATGGAAGCTGCAAGTAAGGCCAAACACCTCGTCCTCAAGCACACTCCAGGCGCCCGCGTCGACGTGCTGCAGCTGGACCTGGCTTCTACCAGATCCGTCAGAGCTTTTGCCGACAACTTCAAGGCCCTCAATCTGCCCCTCAACGTCTTAATGTAGTAAATCACTCTGTTTTCACTCAATAGTCAATAGTCAATACCCTGAATTTTGACCACGTTTCCGGGTTTTGGTTACTAATTCTGCCATTCTGTGTGGGAACAGAAACAATGCAGGAGTGATGTTCTGCCCTTACCAGCAGTCCGAAGACGGGATCGAGATGCAGTTCGCTACCAATCATCTGGGTACTTCTACTTTACTCTGTTAGTAAGCGGTATATGATCCACGATTGAACATCTCCCAAAAAACTCGAGTTATTGGGATCAACTGGTTCTTGACGTACTCTCCTTATTAGTTTGGTCTTCGATTTTAGCAATCTGTGTGTTTTCAATTTTTGATTGATTTGACAAAATGGGTTCCTGCAGGTCATTTCCTGCTGACGAACCTGCTGGTGGACAAAATGAAGGAGACAGCGCGAGCTACAGGTGTGGAAGGAAGGATCGTGAACCTGTCCTCCATTGCCCACATCCACACTTACCGACACGCCATCCTCTTTGACGACATCAACGACAAGAAACGGTGCTTCAATTTTCCCCTTTCTTCCTCACCACTACTACCCATAATTGTTCATTAATGTTCATCCAACAACAACTCAATCGGTGGTCGGTTCAAACATTTTGTCTCTAACCAGTTAAATTAACTTTTTGTGGGTTGTGGGTAAACAGTTATTCTGACAAAAGGGCGTATGGGCAGTCCAAGCTGGCCAACATCCTGCACGCCAAAGAGCTCTCCCGACGCTTCCAGGTTGGTTAAATTCAGAACTACTGGGTTTCTTCTCTTTGCTCTCAGAATTAGGCTCAGGAAACCTCAAACTTTAACTATTCAGGAGGAAGGGGTGAACATTACAGCAAACGCAGTGCATCCAGGGTTAATCATGACTCCTCTGTTCAGATACTCTGCCATTTCCATGAGTAAGCAAACTAGACATCATAATAATAATGAATTAATGATAAACCCACTAAGAATGTTTACAGAAACAAACAAAATGCTGAATCCTAGGTTGGTTGGGGCTTGTAATCTGCAGGGATTTTGAAGTTCTTTTCCAGCTTCCTGTGGAAGAACGTGCCTCAGGTAAACTACACATTCCTCAACTCAAATGGGATTGTGAAAGGCAAGTAAGTAGAAGATGAAAACATAGCAACCATTTTCATCTGTGTTCTGAATTTCCCCTGTTTTTTTAGGGAGCTGCGACGACGTGCTACGTGGCGCTGCACCCAGCGATGACAGGTGTGACGGGGAAATACTTTGCTGACTGCAACGAGATTCAACCAAGCTCCCACGCCAGGGACGAAATGCTGGCCAGGAAGCTCTGGGATTTCAGCAACAAGCTCGTCAACTCTGCTGCCTCTTCCAAAGCTTAATCAACACAACAAAATTCATATGTCTACATTGCCCTTCTTTTTTTCCCCTTCCCCTTTATTGAACGAAATATATATGGTTATCAACTTATATCAATCTAAATCATGAGTCGGGCCAATTTGGAAGGAACACTGTGTTGCTCGTTTGCTAGTTTTCCTTGCCATTATGTCTCAGTGACACGTACATCGTCTCAGCCAATCGCCGTGTGACACGGCATTGAGATGGAAAGGGACGATCGCAACCTCCAGAACAAATACGTACAGCTTTCTTCAATTCCCTATATGTCACAACAACGTCGCTATCCTCTGCTTTCATTCTGCAATAATAATTCCTTCCCAACCGTTGTTTTGAATGCCGCCATTTAAAGAGTGTCCTTCATTTCTGTAAGGATCTCAGACCAACCACAGCAAGCACCACTTTTTTTTTCTCTGTTTCAACTAATCTTCGGGGAGGCCAACGAGTACCCAAGCTAATCTTGGCACAGCCATAACTCTACTGTGAAGCTGAGCTTGTAAAAACTGATTGTGAAGTTTTTTTTCTAGAGTCTGGGGATACTTGGAACCCTAGCTAGGGTTGTTGTTTGAAGAAAAGGGGAAGGAGAAGTCAGACTTGTTTGTTTAGAGAGTAAATAGAAACATATTGCGATTAGTACATGACAAATGCGTTCAAGAGTTGTGCTACATTCACAATTGAGCAAGTTTTACTTGTGCAATAACTTAATTGATGACAAATCAATCTAAAAAAGAATGACCTTCAAGATAATTTTATAGACATTTGTTTATGCCAATATCCTCCTTCACTCCTTCGTGCACCTCCTCGTGCCTCTCCCGGCTCATGAGGCGCCTAATCTCCTGCACACGAAGCGGACAACAAACCTAAGTAGTCCGTTAGGTCTCCAACGGTCAAGTTAGTGCCCAAATTTCGAGAGAAGTAACGATAAGTTTTAGTGAGAGAGTTGCGCACTGAGTAAATGAGGTTTACCTATTTCCCGATTTATACTGGGAGTCTCACCGACCAATACCCCCTAAATCCGCCCTATGTTAGCAAGACAATAAATGCACCGTACATTTCCTTTACCATGCGCCCAGACCATCTGACACCATCCTAAGAAATTTTAGGCACATGGCCTCACATTTTCAGCTTTCCTTACGCTTCTACCAATTGTGTGTCTTTTGTCTTCATGCGTCCCTTGTCAGGACCTTGACCCTACACGTCCAAGCTGTCAAGTACCCCATTGGATCAGACTTTAACCTTGCTTGGGCTATAACTTTGGCTCTTGGCCTCTTGCCCATTTCTTTGGGTTTTCTTCTTTGGGCCTTTATCACATCCCCAACAATTGCCCCCAGTTAGGCGCCTAATGTTTCTTATTAGGGGTCTAACTATGCCCTAACACTTGCTCGTGCTTCGATATTTGTCTATGCACCACTTTACGGTTCTTTGGTGCCCCATTTCTTGCATCCCTAGCCTTTTTGTTTTAGAGAGTGGTGATGGGCCTTTATCACTATTGAAAATTATGAAATTCACTATGGGTGCGTTTGGATACAAGGATTTGGATTTGGTATTTGTGATTTGGATTTTCAAATACCAAATCATGTGTTTGGATATTAATTACATTTGGTATTTGGATTTGTGTCAAATTCATGGGGTGATTTCCAAATACATGTCTAGTGTATTTTTTGTCAACTTCAAATACATTTCAACAACTAGTGATTTGAAATACCTCCTAACAAAAGAATGGATCTATTTGTAAAATATGAAAAGTTTAGGTACTATAGTGTGAGGCAAAACATATAAAGGTACCAAAATGTAATTTTACCATCAAAATTTCAGGACCTTTTTGTAAAATTTTAAAAGTTTAGGTACTAAATTGTAAGAAAAAATAATTTTGGGTACCAAACTGTAATTTACCAAAATTTGTAGTAAGTGGCCAGAAAATTAAAAATTGAAATTGAAAATCATAAATACAAAAATACAAACAAATTACAAATGAGTATCCAAACAATGAATTTGAATTACATGTATTTCAAATGCTAATACTTCAAATACATCCATTTCAAATGCTAGTATTTCAAATACCTTACATTTAAAATACACTTATCCAAACGCACCCTATTATAGTTTATAAACAACCAAAATCTCAAGTAGTAATGGTTATATATAAATTATTGAAACAAGGGGTTCTAAATTTTAATTTATTTCTTAATACCAAACAAGTCATCACTATTTTTCATTGTCATATTCAATTTTAAAAAAAATAATTAACGATTATTATAATAATTAGCAATGTGTTAGTATTAAGTCAACGTTGTAACTCGTTCGCAACACACAATAATCAAGACAGTAAAATACTAAAATGTAATAATACAACTCGAAAAATCACGTCAGCTCGACTTTTCATATAGTCGTCTTCGTTCGACGCGACGATGAACGGTCAACCCCACGCGACGGCCAAATCTTAAGCCGGACGCATCTTCGAAAGGATGAGACGGGGTGCATACCAGCACACATCTCTATGTTATCAGCTCCGACACTACACTGGCTCGTCGTCTTCCCACAAGGCAATGGACCGAACCACCCAAGCCGCCCCGGCCACCACGACGGCGGCGAAGACCGGCGGGACCACGAAGTCAATGTTGGACTTGGCAAACATCTGAGCCGGCAAGCAGAACACCTCTCCCGGAACGTCCAACGGAACCCTAACCATTCCTTCCCTTCTGCACTCTCCGCCTGAACCAGGGGATTGCACGGCCGTAATGGTCGACACGAAGGCGAACTCCGGCGAGAAAGACGCCACGGCTACCAACACGGTCAGTAGGGCAGTCCACCTGGCGGCGTAGATGAGCATTGGTAGCTTTGGCACCAGCCGCCGGCGAAGGGCGGCGAACAGAACGAGCGACGTGGGGATCATGTTCAAAATCTAGCGGCTTCTTCTGTGATATAATGGTTCTGGACTTCTGGGAGAGAGACGACTGAGTGATAGACAAAAAAGTTGTATATATGGCGATAATTGGTAATGGTAGGAAGGAGGGACACCTAACCTCAACTACTTCCCAACTCATATTTGGAATTTTTCTGTAGTGGGTTGGGAGTTCAGCAGATATTCAACGGGCAGAGGAGAACCACTCTGCAATACGGATTGGTTCGAGTTGACCATATCCATCGACTATGAAAGTTGAAATGGCTAAAATGGGGGATCAATGCCAAATGCGATACATATCTACAAGTTGGAGGGACCAAATAGATACTCAAAACCACCTGAGGGCTGAGGTGTAGACGTGGAAACAAGTGTTATGATAAAATATTACAGCAAGCTACATGTAACAACAACAGATGAGGAATTTTGAGATGAACAACAATCCATCTTTGGTGTAACATCTAGGATAACTGACCAACTTCTCGGTCAAGAAGCGCGAGGATTGGAGAAAGTTTTCTCTACCTGGAGAGACAGAAACAGGAAACAAGCCACTGCTACGAGTAGCGCGACCAGCATGATCAGGAGCATGGCCTGCAGAGAGATGTACGGGCTAAGAAAGAAGACGACTGCAATCGAAGCGCTCTGCCACAGCTTTAGTTGAGAAAATGCTCCTTCCTGGGAAAAAGATTTCAAGGTTTCAGGTCACAAAATGATCGGAGATGAAAAGAGGAGATTAAGCACATGGAAGGGATTTCTTGAAGGCTTCATACCATATCTTGCTTGAAAATTATGCCTAGCAAAGCATTCAGCTGAGTGTTCAACACTCCATCACCAATTCCCAGCATAGCTGCCATTAGGAGCGGGTACAGCACGCCGAGTACACCGCTGGTCAAACTGCCAATGCACAAGGTTGGAAAATTTTAGTAGATTCTATAAACCTGCATAACTGTCCTGCGAGGGGGGACAATGGCAAACCTATAACCCAGCAAAATCCAGAGGAAGACAAGAGCTTGAAGAATAGATCCAAAGGATACTATCCATGTTATTGATGCAAGACCCGATGTAAGCCGACCAGCAGTCAGTGCACACTGCCATAAGACAAAAGGATGTCAATATCAAAGCTTCAAATAAGAAGGAACAGATCTTGCCAAGAGAACTTTCAAAATTCAATGAACTTGCCGCGAGATAATTACTAGACGCCCATTGCAACTATACTTACAATGGTATCAAAGGCTCCATAAACTGCCATAGCACCTCCAACACCAGAGACACCGATAGCTGGTTTCACAATTTCTTTTGTAAATTCAGCCCTGAGATAGAGAGACAAACATAATTGAGACATGTGAGTTGAAACAAAAAGAGAAACTGATCTCGGTTTCTAACATTAAACTGAAAATGTTGGACTCACATACCATACGAATGCCTGCTGTAATCCTGAATATGCTATCAAAGGGATGATTAACCACATCCGTATATCAAGCAAAGGGGTGATGATACCCTTGGTCAGCGATACAAAAGAAGAACAAAACCCGTTGGGGGATTCTGCTGCTGCTTCTCCTCTTTTGCCATCCCTTTTGCTAATGAAGCACATTAGAATGGTGCCTAAGGTCATAAAGCATAGAAACACAACGAACAACAAAGTTGTGCCGCTTGTACTTCCATCCTGCATCAATGTGACGGACAATTATGCAAACAAACTCTACAAGTCAATGATCTCTCCCTCCGACTCAAGCTCAACTAGGAAAAGAAAACAGCACATACCGATCCATCCGTCAGGAGAGCAAGGGAGATGAGGTTTCCTACAAACTACAGACTCCAAGGGAACAAAGCAGTAATCAGGTTTGCATTCCAAATGTCAGTCTGGCAAACTGGAATCTCTGTCTATTAGTTTGAAAATAACCTGGTGAGCAGCAAACATGCCCCAAAATTCTCCATTGAAGCTGCCAATGACCGTTGGTTCGTGCAAATTGTGATCACTTGCATGACTTCGTGCTGTTGAAGTGAGATATGTACCCTAAACATGGATAAGTGAAAGATCAGAGAAAGAGAGAGAGCTACGAGAATCCCAAACTATCATTACCTACAACCTGAAAAATTAACAAAGAAAGAAGTAACTAGCATACCTGCCCAACCCATATGATTGAAGCAGCAAAGCCCAGGTAAACAGAAGCTGGTACCATAGTATACCTAATTGAAAACCAGTTGCATCAAAACATGTCTAAACATATTCATTTCAATACAAGGAATTGAAATGGAAATTGATATATGTCAATACCATGAGGGCTTCAAGTTGGCAGCAATAAACAGCCAATACCCGGTAGTCCCAAGAACAATCGCATACTTGGAACCCAAAGCTCGAACCACCGACGATGCCGTCACTGAGAAGATAGTGAAGGACACATACAGTATCCCCAGCGAAATCGTCCCCAAATCCCCCTGCTGCTTACACAGAATTCAAGCTATTCAACATACGAAAATTGGGTGTGGGGGATAGGAACATAAATTCAAATCTGAAAACTCTAGCAGACGATAGCGAATGAAGTGTGGAAAGTAAGTAGGTAAGTAAGTAACTAACCGAATTGACTGTAGTCTCGAGATTCTGAGCAGCTCCATAAGCGAGAAAAATGAGCAAGAACGCGGAGCTCAGAATATGGACATCTCTGGTGTGGTTCGTCGGTTTACCAACCTGCGAATTTTGACCAGCAGCGACTAATGGCGACTCTTCGTCTCTGGGGTTACCGGCGTCCATTTCTGCGTCCACGCTCGCCCTAATTCAATCGATCACCTGGAATTCGGATGCTGCTTATCCATTTATATGATTGCTGGTGGTGATCCGGAAATCCAGAGCGCAAGGTCGAAACAGCTTGCCGGCTGGACAATTGAGCGCTATTAGACAAACGGAACAGTCCGGATTTCTGGAGTAATAAGAAAAGGAGGAGGAGGAAGCTTTGGAGTGGATCGAAATGGAAGAATCCGAGGATGGGACGGCCGGACGGAGAGAATAAGACGAAAGATTCAGGGGAATCGTTTCTTTCTTCGTTTTCCCAAGAAATTTCTATAGAATATTAGAATTATTGGGCAATTGGTTGATAATGAGACGGCGCCGTCTAGCTTGTTTCAAGAAATAAAAAATAGCTGCCGCCATTACATAACGGCCAGCCGGCGGCAGACCGCTTAATAAGACGAGGAGCCAAAATTGTTACGAGGTGAAAGGCTTCAATTTCTTATCTCATGGCATTTTATCAAATTCATCAAATAAGAAAGAAATACTATTAGTATCATACCCTCACTTAAATTAAATTATTCAAAAACTAAAATGTTAACCTTGAAAAACAATGGGTTATGATTGGTATAAGCATTCGATAATGAATCGCCCCTTAGTCCTTACACACCTAATCCATGTCTATTAGCAGCGTGTTTGGATGATTGTTTTGGATTTGTCAATAGTCCTTTCACATTTTATTTACCCTCACATTTTTATAAAATAACGAACAATTTTGAATTTTATCAGAATCGAGACTAATTAATGTAATTGAGTTGAAGGGTGAAATATGCAAGTATGAATGTGATGAATCAAATCACATGAGTGGTGCAAAATATGACAAAGGGAGTATCTTTTGTGGGGCGCTTGCTTAGCAAAAATATTTGGATTAACAGTGTTATTCTATTTGCACCTGTTCAACAACCAGATGCATTTAAAATAAAGTATTAAAATAAATTAAAAAAACTCAATTATTGAAATAAATTGTTGCTCCGCGAGCAAACTGACTCAACTCTATTGCCATACTTTTTTTTTTATATAACTGGCCTGTAATGTATTACCCAAAGGACATTAGGTATCAAATTACAATCCGCTAGAAGTTTGGGGATTAAAAAATAGGAGAACGGAAAAATCATATCTTTGTTTCCTCCCACTTGCAATCAACTTTGGTCATCGAAAGCTCTCAGTCAAACAAAGATACTGAAAGAGTTCTAAAGTTGTCTCCAAATTTGTGGTTTTCATATGATTTAACTTCTGGATCATAGTCTGGTAGTCGGTCTCAATTAAGAGAGGAGAGAAAGAATGTAGCACCCCGACTTTGGATTAAGTTTCAACTTGAAATAAATTCATTGCTAGTTAGATATGAAAACTCAAATTGGTTCAACACTTAAAATTACGTCGTTTAGCGGGTGCTTTAAATCAAGCTGTGAGATGTTTCAAACACCATTGATTAGACGCAAGAATTTTAACCAAGGTCTGAACCCACGTGACCAGAACAGATCACGCAAGAAACCAAATACAAGGCACCCTGAATTGATTAGTGAATCATTGGGGTTGTGATGTGATGAATAGTAACTCACAGTTCAAGAGTTTGCTTGTAACTCACAAACGAGATGTGGTGTCGGAAAACTTTGTTATTTATTGATATGTTCATTCTTCGAAAAAAATTTGCCATTACAATATATAAGCGACTATACCCAATAATTTGGGATAGATTACACACATTGGTTTGCACCATTCTTGGAGCTATTTTACGCTAGGTTTGGTCTTGTTTTGACATGTTTCGGACCTTAGCAGGTGGGATTGGCAACGAGATCGAAAGTTGAATAAAAGAGGATAAAAAGGGAGCAAAATGGGCAACAGTGCAATGATCACGGTCATACAGGGATTATCAAGGGCAACAACCATGAAGTAGACGCCCAAACCGTGAAGACTGGACTCATTACAGATAACGTGATAATTCTCCAGGAAGTCATTCATACCATGGCATTGAAAAAAGGTGACAAGGGGATCATGGTCCTAAAGATTGATCTTGCTAAAGCATACGACAGAATCAGTTGGAGCTTCCTTGAAGGCACCCTTACGGCAATCGGGCTACCAACTGACTTCATATCCCTTGTCATGGCTTGCGTTACTACGACCAGGTTCCAGATCCTTTGGAACAGAAGTTGCATAGATGAATTCCGACCGTCCCGTGGACTTCGGCAGGGATGTCCTCTCTCTCCTTACCTTTTTACTTTGTGTATTGAACGTTTAAATCATTGCATCAAAGACTTTGTGAGTAAGGGAGATTGGAAACCGATTTCTCTCTAGAAATGGTCCTCCACTTACCCATCTCTTTTTTGCAGATGACCTGGTTCTCTTTTCTGAGGCTAATCCGAAGCAAGGGAAAATCATCATGGACTGCCTTGATTCCTTTTGCAAAGCTTCATGAGAAAAGATCAACAAGGACAAGTCATGTGTCTACTTCTCGAAGAATACAAAAGATAGAACGAAGGATAGGATCAGCCATCTTCTGGGTATCCCTCGCATCAACAACCTAGGGAGATACCTAGGGGTACCGGTGATCCAAGGGAGGGTGACTAAAGCAACGTACAAATACATTCTTGAGAATATAGACAGAAGACTTGCCAGTTGGAAAACCAAAAAATTATCTCTGGCAGGAAGGGTGACCTTGGCGACCTCAGTACTCAATGCTCTCCCCAATTACACTATGCAAATTGCTGTTCTCCCATGTCATATTCGTGATATGATTGATAAGAAGATTAGGGCATTTGTATGGGGAGCTGACGAGGGCAGATACAAAGCGCACTTGGTGACTTGGGAGACCATATGCAAACCCCTAACTGTGATGCTAGAGATCTCTATCTCAAGAGATTAAGGAGTACCCTTTAGGCATAGGCGACATAACCGAATGTAAAATATCAATTGTAAAATTCATAAAATGAAGTATAATAGATCTCCATTTGTAGATGGATCCGAATTACCCAATATACAACATTCTTAAAAGTGAATTAATAGAGAACAAAGTTAATAATACATATATGAAGAAATACTTATAAGCAATTTATGTATACAATAAGTGGTGCAAATTTTTCTAATATGAAATATAAATAGACAATAATAACTTAGGATAACCCGATCAACAAAAATACATATGAACTAATTATTATCAATATCACCATTATCAAGTAGTACAAAGATTACTTTCGACTCTTTATAAACTATTGAGTATGCCCCAAATCAATGAAAAATATAAATAAATTGATTATCATGAAGCAGTAGACAAATAAGATGAATTTATTCGACCAATGCTTCGGGTAGAAACTAGTATGTATAAATAATGGATCACTGCAGCAGTTATCAAAGTTTATAGCCAGGCCACCTAAACCTAATTTCCTTTTGATACTCGCCAAAATAAACCAATTATCCATATTAACGGATCTTCCCCAACCCAGCAGAACAAACAAAAACCTGAGTGCGGCTGTGAACGTGGGACCGCAGCAAGCATAGACAGGAGATTTCACAAAACATAAGCCCCAGGGAAAGGAATGGAACCAGCCCACATCTTTCAGAACCTATGGGTTTGGTACTGGAAGATTCCTCGAGGTGCTTCTCAAGAACTTTGGTCTTCTACTGCTATCCGTATGAACACCCCCAGTATCCTCCATCAGCAGAGCACACAACCTGTGCGCCAGCATTTGATTCGACCAAGCTGCTGCCTAACTCCTTCTTGAGTCCCTTTTCTTTCATTATATTCCTGATTTCAGCAGCATCGTTCCATCTTCCCATCTCTGCATATGCGTTAGCCAGAACCACATAGTAAGCACTGTTTTCAGGCTCCAATTCCACAAGCTTTTCAGCTATGAACTTGGTAAGTTCTAAATTCCCATGATCTTTACAAGCATTCAGCAAAGACCCCCACATGGACTTCGTTGGCTCAAAGGGCATCTCTCTGATGTATTCTAAAGCCTCATACAAGCACCCTGCACGAGCTAGGAGGTCGACAACGCAAGCATAATGCTTTAGCCCTGGGGGAAATCCATACTTCCCATGAAGCAGGGAATTGAAAATCTGCTTTCCAACGTCAACGAAACCCGAATGGCTACAGGCAGTAAGCACATTCACCAAAGTGATCTCATCAATCCCCAATCCTTCTTGCTCCATGTTGTTAAACCACCAAATAGCTTCTTGTCCACATTTAGCTAAGCCCAACCCTTTGATCAACACATTCCAAGTAAACAGGTTCCTTTCTTTCATGTTTCTGAACACGCTTGTTCCCTCCTCAATTCTCCCGCATTTCAGATACATGTCGACCAGAGAAGTCCCCAAAATCACATCCAACTCCCACCCACTCGCGGTGATAAAATCATGTATCCGGATTCCCATTTCAATGGCCCCGGAACCAGCACAAGCAGCCAACGCGTTCACCATGGTGACGTGATTGGGCACCACGCCATCATATGGCATCATCTCAAAAGCAATCAACGCATCGTCGAACTTGCCAGATTTTCCGTAACCCTTAATCAACACAGTCCAGGACACCACATCTCTGTCGGACATTTTATCGAACACTTTGCGACACATGTCCATGCTCCCGCAGGAGGCATACAAATTAAGCAGCGAGTTCAGGACATAAATATCACCCAGATGGCCCCATTTCACTAGGTGAGAATGCACACACTGACCTTGCTTGAAGCGTCGGAAGTCGGACAGGGACTTGAGAAGGAAAGGGAAAGTGTAGTTATTGGGGAGTAGAGAACACTGCAGCATATGGGTGTACAAGGAAAGCGGGAGGCCAGGGTCCTTGGAGTGCGAGAAGGCCTTGACGAGAGTGTTGTAAGTGAAGACATGGGGCTTGGGGAGATGGATCAAGAAGAGCGGCAGAGATGGATGGAGGACGGAGAGGCGTTCCGCGGCGTTGATGTAGTGGTAAGCGATTTTGGTATCGGCATGGAGGCTCTGGAGGATGAACTGCGCTTCTATTTGGTGAAGGTGACTGGCGGAAGAGCAACGGGTTAGGAAATGGATGATCTTGCTGCCCGTGGAACTCAATTGCTGGTATGTTGTTGACATAACTCCACCGGTGGCCGGAATAATTAATATCTCTGTGCATCTAATTGACTAATCAGATGGCCGGACTTCACTCGTTAAGTCTCCGGCGAGTCAGTGGGAATGGAACTGGCTGACCAGAGCAAGAGAGGGGAACGAGAATTGAAGGGAAAGGAAGGCGGCAGAGAACCAAGAAGAATAGGAATAGGCTAGGGATTTTGATTGACATCTTTTACCTATCCCGCCAATTACATCCAAACGACGCTTCCTCGTTCCTAGCTACTTTCTTTACAAAATTACCAACGTAGTCCCCTATCTCTTACAGTTATAACTAAACCCCCTCTTAGTTAGGGATGCAAATGAACGGAGTCGATGACGAGCAACTCATAATTCGAATCAAGAAAATATCATCCGGGACTAGACTTGTTAGTAAGTGAGCCAAGATTGAACACGACTCTTCTAAGCTTGTAGGCTAGCGTGCTAGTTCGATTATGTGGCTCTCGTTGAACTCAGTTCGAGAGTTGAATCCTTCAGAGGTAACGTGTTGATAGGGATGGCAATGGGTCGGGTCTGGTCGGGTCGGGGGCGGATAGTGCATATACGTTACCCTACCAAAATTAGTTCGGGTTTTACCCATACACATACTCACATTAGAAACGGGTAGAAAATCAAAAACCATGCATATACCCGTTCGGATTTCGGATATCCACAGTTATTCATGGGTAATTACTAATATGTTAACACGTATTCTCAAACGTATTCTCAAGAGGAAATGTAGTAAAAAAAAACTGATTTCTTAACTTACAAGCATCACACTCCTGGTTCCATCATCTTCTATACGCCGGTTTCTTCGGCATCTTGATATCGAGTATACCTCCAAGAGTCGCCAACCCATCTTGAAACTTCCGAATCTTAAGGAAACCTCTGATCATGCTCACTTCATTGGCCGAGAAATTCGCTTTCTCCATGATGAGATCAACAAGCTTCATCAGCGTATCCTCCATCGACAGTTCACAGAGCCCCTCCGCCAGCATATAGAAAGACGAAAATTCAGGCAAGTATCCTCTCTCCGCCATCTCCACCACGAAGTCCACCGCTTCCTGTATTGGCCCGCCACTACTGCACAGCCCACGGAACACAATCTTGTAGGTGCCTTGGTCAGGAGGATCAACAACAGCACTCTCCATCATTTCTCTGAACAATCTCATAGCTTCTGTGTTTCTCTTCTTCTTAAACAGTGCTTGCAGTATGGGGTTGTAGGCATGAGGCGACAAGACTACGCCTTTCAATTGAATGGACCTCAGAAGCTTGCTCGCCACCTGCACTCGTCCCGCCTTGCACAGCCCGCCAATCAATGTCCCGTAAGTTACGATATCCGGGTCACAACCATTTGAGGCCATGGCTTGGACTATGTCAGCAGCCTTCTGAATATCCCCTCCCTTACAGAAGTAAGTGAGCATTGAGTTGTAAGTGAACTTGTCCGGCTTCAGCCCTTCCATTATCATTTGATCCATTAGTTCAGCAGCCTCTTCCACTCTCCTGTTCTTGCACAAGCCATCAATGAGTGCGTTGAATGTTACAGAATTTCTCGATACCCCTTGGAGTTCCATTTGGTCAAAGATCTCTTCTGCTTCTTCGATCTTCCTGTTTTTGCAGAACCCAGAAATTAAAGTGTTGTAAGTGATCACGCTTCTCGAGCAGCCACTCGATTCCATCTCTTTAAGCAGGTTCAAAGCATCGTCCAGCTTCCCCCTGTAGCAAAGGCTATCGATCAACATGTTGTAGGTAAACTCATCCGGCTGGCACCCTTGGTTCTTCATCTCTTGATACAATTCCATGGTGAGTGAATGATTTCTGGTCAAGCACAGACCTTGTATGAGGGAATTGAATGTGCAGACATCAGGAGCAAGTCCCTTGCTAGTGAGAACACGGGCAAGTTTAGTAGCTTCCTCCACTTGGTTGTCCTTACACAAGGTACTTATCAAAGTGTTGTAAGTCACAGTGTTGGGAGAGCAATCCCTTGAAATCATCTCTTCCAGAATCTCCACTGCTTCCTCAACTTCACCGGCTTTACACAGCCCGGATATCAGAGAGTTGTAAGTATAAATATCTGGATCGAAGCCTTCTTGAAGCATCATATCCATGACTTCCAAACCATGCTTAACCTGACCAACTTTACACAGTCCGTTCACCAGAGTGTTGAAAGTGTACTTATCCGGGAAGAATCCATTGTTAGAGACCTCCTCTATATAGCCCAGAGCTTCTGCAATTCTACCTTGTTTGCAGTAGCCATGAACCAGCACATTTACGGTTACATTGGTCATGGGGCATCCAGCTTCCACCATTTGCTTCTGCATTCTCAGTGCACCATCCAAGTTTCCTTCTTCGATGAACCCTTGCATGATTGTGGTGAAAGTTTTCTCATCTGGAAGAAGACCGTAGCTGGGCATCTCCTCCATCATCAAACTAGCAGGCCGAATTTGATGTGCTTTGCACAAGGCTTTGATAAGTATGTTGAATGTTGAAACGTCGGGTTTGATTCCTCTCCCCATCAAATTAGAGTGCACCATTTCCACCAACTTCAGCTTGTTACCATCCACCATAACATTCAGTACGAAATTGAAGAAATGGGTGTCGGGTTGAAACCCAAACTCAACCTCCATCGACTCGAGTAATTCAGGGATTTCATCATACAAATCGAAATCGGCGTAGCTCTGAACAAAGATTAAGCATATACCTTTGCTGGCCCGACACCCCGAGTTCTTCATTTCTTCCAAGATGTCCTTCATCGAATCGAAGGACCCGACTTTGCCGAGCTTGCGGAGAATCTCCTCGTACAGGGACGCCTTCGGCTCGAAATTTGGCTGCTTTGAAGCCCATTCGAACACCCGAAGCGCCGCGGACTCGTTCGGCTGTTGGCGGAGGGTTTCGAGCAGCTGAGGAGTGGTGAAGTCGGAAGAGAGCAAGAGCGAGGTGGGGAGTGGAGATTGTGCGGTAGTAAGTGAGGCATGATGCTGTCTCGTGGATGCGAATGAGAGGGTGGAATCAGATGTGGGTTTGTGAGAAGAAGAAGAAGAGGGGAAACGGTGAGGGGGGACATGGAACCAGGAGTGGCATTTCAAGCCTAGAGAGGTAGCTACCTCCATTCCAAGCAATTCACCGAGCACGAAGCCTGCAAAAAAAACGAAAGGTGCCGTCTGCTAATATTGAAGCTTGAAATTTGAAGCTCCTTCCCACCGTAGCTCTCTCACGGATCAGCTCAGTGTGAATCTCTACCGGCGTTGGCGGTCTTTCTTTCTGTCGGATGCGATATCCGAAGGTTGATTCGAAGCCGTTGATGATACCTCACAAGGGCTTCAGACGTTTGGGTTTTAGGTTGTTGAGTTCCAGTTGGGGGCAGTCACTGCTGGGCTCTCTATTGTTCAAAAGGTTAATAATTGTTTGGGTAAATACTTTCTAGTGTGACACTATAGCCACTCGGAGCAATTGAACTGCAAATTTGGCCACTCATATTATCTGTTGGTAACACTTTAGCCACTCGAATTATTTTTCCTTCAATTTAGCCACTGATACTTTACGTTTGTCATCCTTGATCACTCGTCGTCTGGGTTCGTTATATTCGTCTGGGTTCGTTATATTTTGTCGACGGCGTTACACTTTTGCTTACGTGACAAACGAGGGTGCTAAGCTGGCCCGCCTATTAAGCTAACAACACGAACCATACAATGAGCAGAACCAGCCCATTAAGTGACTCGCCAATACCGTCACACTAGAAAGTCGTCAAGTGTAACCACAAACTAATGCATAGTATAGCGGGTCTAGCTTTATTTGTCAACTCGGGTCCTAGATGTGATGACCTTTTCGTGAAGTTCTCGTTATCTAGCGGTTTGAACGTAGTGAAGTTGTAACTAATATAAGCAAACACAAAGCATTAAAGTTGTGATTTAATTTCGAGAGAGGTCACCCAGATATGGTTCCCCCTGGATTGCAGTGAAGCCGAATTGTAATTCACCAAGTCCATATACAATGATAGTTATACTGCGGACGGTTCTTAGGCAGTCTGAAGTCTCGACTAAAGGTCTTCAGACCCTCCCAGTCTGAATACCCAACGGGCGACCAACCTCCACCGGAGCAAATGAACTGAGGCCCTAACGTGCAAAACCACCTCTACTGGATCAAATCCAGTATAGAGCGGTGAATTGACTTCTCGACCAAAGTAGTCAATTCACCACCTTCAATAAGGCTGCTTTATCAACCTATGCAGCTAATGATCATCCTCGAATCACAGATACCTCATTCTGGCTTGTCAATTCAACCATCTCTTGAATCTCAATTGGGAGTTAGACTCATCCACACCTGTAGAGAGTGTAATCGGGTTGTAAACTACTTAGCAAATAAAAGGCATTCTTTAGAATTAGGCCTCCATTATATTACTCTTTCGGATCCACTGGACTGTGTATGACAGTATGGGCATTGCAAAATCTCGTTTTAATATAAGTGTCAGGCAAGTGTGCCCTTTTAGCGTCCCGTTTTTCCAACAAAAAGGGAGGGAGAGGCGTGATTAGAGATGACAATGGGTACATTTCTTGGGTAATTTGGTCCAATTATCATGACTCGTATGGTTGGTCTGACCCAAATGGAACCGTTTGCACTTTTAATGATATTGGGTTTGGGTTGTATTTGAATTATCGTATTTGGGTCAATTCATTTGGGTTAGAATCAAATGAGTTTAACTGGGACCAGATGATTGCATACACAAAAAATATTACCAGCCATTTCAATAACTACGTACAACCCAATTATACACTTTTTTTGGTGAGACCCAATTATACACCTTTAATGTAAGTGTTTACAAATTTCAATTTATTTTATAATCAAGTACCCATATTATTTTTGACTTTGTATAATATGGATCCAATTTACAACCAACTAAAAAATTGAATATGAATATGCCTCATTAGTAAAATTACCCAAATTAAGTTAGGCTTGGGAAATACTCAAATATCGGGGGGTTTTCCATAGAAGTAGAAATAAAGGGAATTTAGTTCCTTTAGTAATAGAAGTACATAGCAAGAACAAACTTCGTAACTGCAGGATATGAGGCACCTTTCTTAGCAATCCTAAAGTAGAATGACAATGGTCAAGCACTTCTCCACCTTCAACTCAACTCAAGGCCTTGCCTAAAACCCCTCCACAAACACACAGTTACAAATTAGCTCTTAGACATACAACTAAGAGAAACGCAGTCAGACACAAAAGGTTCTATGGATCACAAGCCAGGTTTATCCATGCTTCAAACGAACAAAAGGATGTTCAGAACAGCAGGTTGAACTCAGAAAACCAGTATCACAATTCTCTCCATTCAACACCAAACTATAAACATAACACCACAAGTAAATGCAAATCCTTAAAGGCCACAAGCCATTGACAGATGGCCCCTTATATGTCTGTCTCCATTCAGTTCGCACGGCTCTGGAACACGTCGAGCCCCATCTCTGTAGGATCAGTTGCTTGCAACTCTACCTGAATTCCATCGAGCTCTCTCTTGAACCTGTCTTTTGAGCTCGCGTAAATCATCTTGCTTCTCACCCTCGCTGTGTCAGGAGACCTTGAAGGGCACCACGATAACAGATGTGTAATCAGCACACGACAAAATACAAATTGGACAGGATAAAGGACAGATGATGCAAATGTGTGAACTTAAGAAGAACATAGACACTAAAAATTACCATGCAATGAAAAATATCCTGCTCTTCTGGCAGTTCTCCACTGTGACAAAGTCAAAATCATAAACAGCATAGCGGCACTCATCAGCAGGGATGCTAGCAGCAAAATCCTCATAGCTTTGACTTGGATCGCCAAGCTTCTCCACAACAACTTGCTTTTGCTTCTCCTCGATCTTGAAAATTATGGAGCGGTAGGTTCTTTTTGCCTTCAGCTCCAAGAATTTCAACTTGCAGTCATCGTGGACTGCCATCCCGGATGCTGCATTTGCCTAAAAGGTAACATGAACACACAGTCCTTAGTAGTCAATACTAAGTCAAACTCTAGCTCCCCTGTGACACCAGAATCATAATTCAAAGACGAGCCTACTAAGTCGACGCAAGTTATTTTTGGAGCTATCGATCAGATTCATTCATTAACTGCCAAATCCAATCCCAAGAGGAAAACAAATCCAATATTGAAAAGCCTAAATTGATAACTCAATAAATCTCATAGTTGCCCTCGAATCTCAACCTTGGATCATGACTATTTGAAACACTACCAAGTAAACCATAGAAAAGCTGCAATACAAGCAAATCAATGAACGAGGAGCTGCCATGGAGTAATTGCAGAACTAAAGCCAAACATCACCATCGATCCACCTCGACAACAGATACAGAACACAAAACAAACCGCCTAAATTGCACACAAATGAACACTTGATCCTCTTAGCTAAACACAAGAGCAATCGTCACAATCGAAAGAAGGAATACAGCTAAAATCCGAGCTCGATTCAAAATTCAGCACAACTTCCGATAGATCTACGCAAGAAAATGCGACGAAGGAGAAGAGCAACTCAGATCTCTACAGTTACGCACTAGGTAAGATTAGATCACGGGAGAAATAGCCCGCAGCGGCATAAATGACGAACTCTGAGCGAAATTCAGGTTCAGGACGGGGAGATCGAGCACAGATCGAACGGGAGCACTCCCTCACATGGAGATTCATAATCCAGCAGAAATCGAAGGAAAAAAAAAAATGGAAACCCTAGGCTATCAGAGCTGAAATAATAGAAGGGAAACATGAAGACGAGAAAAAGAATCAACTCACCATCGCGTTAGATTCGACTCGGGGAAGGAAAGCTGTAACTTGAGATATCGAAAGATGAGAGAATATAGAGAGAGCAGAAGCAATGAACAGCGTCTTCTCCGATAATGTGGTCTGCGTACAGAAATGGCCGAATAAAATTCCTTTCTTATAGCAAGTTAGGCGGCTCTTTTTTTTTTTGACAATAAAATCATACTTTTATTCCACCTTCGAAGAAAACTCGGGCAAATTACAATCTTAAAGAAGCTCAGAAATTAGATCAAGAATATTAATCCAGTCTTCAGGAAGATTCGATCTCGCTTTTGATCGTGCAACCCAATCCGCTCTGACGTTCAATGCTCTTGGCACCTCCTTGACTTTAATGCCCGGGTTTGTCCTGAGGATATTGATCATAGAACCAATCCACGCTGCGCAGCGCCATGGCCATCCTGATATTTCTTTACCCAGAGCATTCACCAAAACCTGACAGTCAGATTGGACAATGCATTCCGATCCATATTCTTGTGCTAATTTTAAACCTTCTAAGAGAGCCTTCGCTTCTGCTTCAATCGGGGTGGAACAAAGAAGATTCCCAGCTCGCCCATCACACACTTGTCCATGGTGGTTAATCGCAACCACACCATAAGCCGCCTGCTGGGAGTCGCAAATGAACGACCCATCACAGTGAATCTCCATAGGATGATTACTTGGCGGGGGAGTCGTAGTGGAATGGGTTCCCCTGAGCTGAGTCGGAGAGGCAAGACCAGGGGTATGGGGCCTCGGGCAGGAATTCCACTCTGATAGTTCTCTAAAAGTTTGTAGACCAACGTTAGGGGGCCAAGGAACTCTGTTCTTGAACGTACACTCATTCCTTGCCTTCCATATATTCCAACAAAGGAAAACAATATGGATAAAGACTTCCTTCGAAATGACCTCCTTGATAGCACAAATCCAATCAAAGAACGAAGAATCCTGGGGAGGGAGAGGGAGAGAAGGGAAGATATTGCTCCAAGCTTCACTGGCATGGGGGCAGTAGAAAAGGCAGTGTAAGATGGATTCATTTGGGCAACTGCAGACCTGACAATTCGGGTTTGGGGTACATTTCCGGTGAAAGAGCCTCGCTTTCGTTGCCAACCCATTCCTGGAACACCTCCAGAGGAAGAACTTGAGCTTCGGTGGGAGGTTCAGACTCCACATCCATTTCCATTTATCCTCTGTACCCATCGGTTGATAGTTTGTGTTTGCTTTGTGAACAGCGTGATAAGCCGTCTTAACCGAGTACATTCCCTCTTTAGTGAGATTCCATGCCCAAAAATCTTCAGCCCCTTCCTCCCCAATCGGAACTCTCAAAATAGCATCAAGTTCCACATCGGACACGTGGGCTCGAATGATTTCTGAGTTCCAGCATCGGTTGTTTTGATCAATCCACTCTTTGACCCTGATCCGCTGTTGCGGCCCACTTAAAATGGTGAACCCTTGAATCTTGGGAATCCATGGATCTTGTCCTACCCACGTATCATCTCCCGCTCCAATGACCTTAATTGCTCCCAGGTTCAACACATTTTTTGCCTCCCATAGGCTTGCCCAGATCCAGGAGGATCTACTTCCCTTCTTTGCATTCATGAAGTCTCCTCTCGGAAAGTAGAGCCCCTTAAGGAGGCGGCTCCAAAGGGAGTCAGGGGAAGAAAGAAGGCGCCAAGCCTGTTTAGCCAAAAGAGCCATGTTGAAGTCTTTAAAACTCCGGAATCCTAGCCCCCCTTCAGATTTCGGAGCTGTGAGGATCTCCTTTCTACACCAGTGCAAGCTACTTTTCTGCATCGATCCCGACCAGAAAAAGTTGGCAAGGAGAGAGTCCATTTTCTTGGTAAGATTCACCGGGAGGTGGAAAAGATACATGATATAGGATGGGATAGCTTGAATAACGGCTTTGAGTAGAATTTCTTTCCCCCCATGTGATAACAGAAGGCTTTTCCAAGCTTCCCCCATCTTTTCCATCCTTTGAATGAGGAAGCTAAACGTTTCTTTTTTCGAGTTACCCCATTCAGTCGGAACCCCAAGATATTTTGAGTGGCAGTTAGAAGAGGCAAACCCCAAATGGGCGATGATGGAGGCTTTGTCGTCATCTGGGACATTGGCACTGAAGAACACTGATGATTTGTTGATATTCACTTCTTGTCCCGTAATTGCTCCATAATTGCTGATCAGCTCAAGGATTCTCCCTGCTTCTTGGATGTTAGCCCTCCCAAAAATAACCGTATCATCTGCGAACAGGCAATGGGTGATAGTGGGACATCTAGGGTTTAATTTAATCCCTTTCAACTGATCCTGTGCAACCTCCTTATCGATCAAAAAGGTAAGTGCATTGGACATCAGAATGAAAAGGAACGGGGATAATGGGTCTCCCTGTCTGATGCCTCTCGACGGATTAAAAGGCTCTGTTGCTTCCCCATTGAAGAGGATCGAGAATTTGACCGTCCTGATGCAAGCACTGACCCATTTACACCATCTTTCATCAAACCCGTACTTCTCAAGAAGAGTCTCCATGCAATCCCAATCCACCATGTCATATGCCTTCTTCATATCCAACTTAAGCATCATATCTCTTCTCCTCCCCCGTTTGTGGTTCTTGAAATGATGCAGAGCCTCGTGGACAATGATGACGTTATCTTGAATAAGCCTCCCTCCGGTGAAGGCTGTCTGAAGTTCCGAGACCAGATCAGGTGTCCATTTTTTGAGTCTAGTTGCCATAATCTTGGATATAATTTTATATCTAAAATTACAACAGCTGATAGGCCGGAACTGGTTGATCATCTCAGGGTGGTCCACCTTTGGGATCATAACAATATGCGTATCATTCCATCCCTCGGGCATGTTGGCCGACTCAAAAAAATCTCTGATCTCTCTACTCAGGGTCTCTCCAATAATATCCCAGAATCGGCGGTAGAATCGGCCTGAAAAACCATCTGGACCCGGAGATTTTCTCGCCCCCAAAGAGAAAACAGCTTTCCTAATTTCTTCGTTTGAAACTGGGGCACAGAGCTCTTCATTCATCTCCAGGGAGACTTTGCTAGGAAACCCATCCAGAAGGGTGGTGAAGGGGATTGGATTTCTGGCTCTAAAAAGATCTTTGTAAAAATCCTGAGATACCCCTTTAAGCCTATTTTCGTCCTCAACCCATTCTCCCATATCATCTTTTAATCTAAGGATTCTATTCTTATGTCTTCTGTGAATCGTGCTAGAGTGAAAGAAGGAAGAGTTCTGGTCACCTTTTTGAAGCCACGTCACTCTCGAGCACTGATTCCAGAATGCTTCCTCATCCAGCCAAATCTTTGAAAGTTCCTCAGTGAGTCTCTTCTCCTCTTCCACCCTTTCCTGTGATCTAGGAGGCCGTTGTAGAATCTCAAGTCTTTCTAGAATGTCATGTTCCCTTTGTGAACTGTTTCTATAGTTGTCCTTCGACCACTCTTTGAGGTCACGTTCACATTTGCTAAGTTGGTGGGATGATTGGCCTCCCGGGTCCCAAGCCCTGGTAACAATCTCCATGCATTCTTCTTTTTCTAGCCATCTTTCATCAACCCTAAAAGGCGTTTTTTTCCTCCTCCTCCCTCTGTAGTGTAGCTCTAGTCTGATTGGGCAATGATCTGACTCCACCATTTTTTCGTGAAAGACCACCGCTTCACCGAAGAGAGCTCTCCAAGAAGTTGAGCAAAGCACCCTATCTAATCTGACCCGAGTCGTGTTCTGGCCTGTTCGCTTGTTCGTCCAAGTGAATGGCTCCCCTTTGAAACCCAGGTCAATAAGTGCGTTCTGGAAGATGAACCTTTTAAAAGGTTCCACATTCTCGTACCTAAGAGGGCATCTACCCTCTTTTTCATTTTCATAGATAGCGGCATTAAAATCCCCTACAACAACCCAGCTATCATCCCTACTACTCCGAAGAGAGCTCAAGTGCTCCCAAAATTCCCTTCTACTAACAGTGGTAGAGGGTGCGTGAACAAAAGTGCAAAAGAACTTCCTACCCATATCTATACTAACATCCATATAGTAGCTATCACTACTAATAATACTAATATTAATACCCGCTTTCCACCACAAAGCAAACCCCCTCGAAGAGTTAGTCGGTTCTACATACTCTCTATTAGGGAAAATTTTGAGACTTCTTCTCTGGTCTTCCATGAAAGCCTCGTTCTTGCTTGTTTCCATAAGAAAAACAATCGATGGGCCTAAGCGTCTACAGAGGCGCTTTGCATAGCTTCTTGTAAGGGGTGGGCCAAACCCCCTACAATTCCAACTTATGATACTCATTTCCGGAGAGGTGGCTTATGGCGAACCACCGCTGCCCTCGAGTCTCCTCCTTGCTCCCCAACAGAATCCCCTTCCCTTGAGTTGTTGACAGATTGGGATCTAAATTTTTTATTTTTCTTCTTCTTATTTTTCCCTCCAGGCCCTCCCATGAACACTGTGTCAGCTGGGCCAAAAGTGCCTTCCTCCTCTTCATTATTTCCGCTGCTGGGCCTCTCCAAGCTTGTCTGGCCCGTTCCTTTCCTCTTCTTCAGCCTGCGGCCCATTTCTTCCTCTAAGATCTCCTGATTCTGTTGATAGAGAAAGCCAGCTGTTGGGCCTTCTTTTTCCACCATCATCGTCGGCCCTAGGGTAAGGCCCGTCTCCACCTCTTCCACCTGCGACTCCGCCTCCGCTTCTGTTTGTTCGGCGCTGCCTAGGAACAGACCTTCTTCCAATCGCAGGCCCCCCTCCATAGCAGCCAAAGTTCTCTCCATCTCCAAATTGAGATTCCTTGCTCCCATCTCCTGTCTGTACCTCCCTCTCTGTCTCCCTTGATTTTCTTGTTCTTCTCTATTTTGAGCTTCCCAATCGTTCCTTCTGATGGTAAAACCAGGGGGGACTTGAAGATTCCTCTCCTCTATCAGCCTTCCCCTCCGCGCAATCTCATCAGCAGCTTCTTCTTCCCTCCTGTTGTATTCCCCAGCCCTTACTCTATTTCTTCCCATCTGTGAGCCCTGCGACCCTTCCCCTTCCCTGCTGCTTCTGAGTTGATTTGCTCTGTTTGGGGAGTCGATTCCAGCCTTGAGTGATGCATTATAGACATCCGACAGATATGCCACACCGTTCCTCTTCCTCTCCTCGTCCATCCTCCAGCATGTCGGCCAGTTGTGGCCAATTCGCCCACAGAAATAGCACAGCTCCACCAGCCTTTCGTACTTGAAATCGATCACATCGCAGTAGTCCACCCCTGTTTTTTCATCTGTGAATGGGAAGTCGAAGCCTGTTGGAACCGGCTCCCTGAGATTCACCTCCACCAGAATCCTTAGGAATCTCCTGTAACCCGTGAACTCCAAACTGGCTCTGTCGATGTCGAGGAAACCTGGGAAATAATGGGTTCCTATCGCCTCCATATTTTGCTCGTTCCTCTGATCTTGATGCATCCCGTGTATTTGCACCCACATTGCAATCTTCTCCATAGGTATTTCTTCTGGCTTCCCCCTTCCATTGTATTTCTCTATTGCTGTGAGCGTGTTTGACAAGCTCCATGGCCTGTCTCTCCAGATTCTTTCTCTAATCTCCGGGTTGCTGAAGGTGAAAATGAAGAGATTTTGGGTATCAGTGGGTTGGACATTCACCTCTCCATATCCTCCCCAAGCATACCGAGCTGCTCCTGCTGCTTTTGCCAAAGCCACTCTGCTTTCAGTCAACATCCTCCCTAGCAGCATGGATATTCCTCGGCCCCCTGTGGAAATCAGATTCGGGCCTCCTCTTCTTCCTCTTGATGGTGATGGGATGACACCCCCAGCATTCCTAGTCTCATTTCGGGCCAAGCTATTGGTATCCATTGGGAATGGGAAGGGGCTGGCTGGTTTAACAGTTTTCGGCTTTTTTGCAGGGGAGAACAGAGTGGGAACTAGGAACCAGAGAGGAGCTTTGGAGTAATCTGATTCCACAATTTTCGGGTTTTTTGCAGGGGAAAACAGAGTGGGGAATAAGAACCAGAGAGGAACTTGGGAGTAATTCTTCCTGGAAGTGAGAGGTTTTCTTCTTGTAGTTTCTTCCTCTTTATGGCTCTTGCTAGGGCGTTGAACCATGCCATCCTCTTTATGGCGGTAGAAATCTTTCCTTTCAAAGCATTCATTATTCCTCTTCTGACTGAGTTTCCCTCTGCTCTGTTTCTTCCCTGTTGAGGCAGAGGCTCTTGGCTCGAAACTCTTTCTGCTATGAGATCGAATCTTGATGGTTTGTACAGAAGATAGCCTCTTAGCTCTTCTATTCCCTTCCTTCCTTTTCGTCTTCTTCTTGGTCTGACAGTAGTTAACACACCACCACCGGTCTGGTGGTTTCCAAACAAATCCAAACTTTATGACTCTGGCCTCACCTTTCCTGAGTAGTCTTTTCTCTTCTCGAATCTTTGCTGCTGTATTGCAGCTGCTCCTGCCCCCCTCTTTACACTGTGGGAGATCTTTGTTTAGGGTCGTGGAAATCTTTCGGAAACTCTTTGGAAGAGAAGGACGAGTCCCAGCCTGGGGGACGGAAAAAGAACCGTTGGAAGGTTCAGAGAGAGTTTCCGTTAGAGAGAGAGAAGAGAGAGACATCTTTTTTCACTCTGACTCTCCAGTTAGGCGGCTCTTAGACGCGGGGAATAATACCGTGTTGGGGATTACATCTGTACTGTGAGGTCGACCTGAAGCGTCCAATGCTAGGTCGACATGGATCTCTTACAAAGTAGTGGGTTGCATCATTTGCAATTTAAATTTTAGCTTTTGAGACGCCTAATATTTATTGTATTCAAATCATTAAATGTAATATGGGTCGTATCATTATCTATTATATACTAAAATATATTAGTGAGTATGAAAGTGTAATTTTCTCTACCTTAACAATTGTGTCTTCCTTTGATCTCTCATGGATCACTATGGGTTATGGCTTTTTGCTATCCTTTGGAACTGGTTCGACGTACAAAACCTAGATTTGTCACAAAAAATATTTGGTCGGACCCCTTCCTGCCAACATCTCATACCTCTCTCGTTTCGTCCGCTATATCGACATTGGCACCAACTATTTTCTCAATGACGTCCCATCCTCAATTGAAAACCTAATCATTCTTCGTAACCTCCACCTCTATCAAAACCAATTCCACAATAATTCCTCTATTGGAGATTTAAATAGGGAAGATCAATAAATTAGGGATGACGTGTAAAGAGTTTGTCCCTTTTTATTTCTCCCGAGTTTGGCAAACTAAACAAGCCCAATATTTTATGAATCCGAAAGGTAATATAATCTAAAACACACCTGAATGGTTCACCTATCTCCAAAATTTTAAGGACAAAGTGTGGTCAAGAACAATTTGAAAGGTGCAATTCTATATTGCATAGCCTTGCTCCGGAATATGAAACATCCCTATAATCAGTTGTTTAGAGGAATCACTAGGAATGTGAATGCATTGAGTGTGATGGAGATTGATGTCTCGATAAAATATCTATCAAATTTCCATTGAGTTTGGGAAGTTTGAGGATATGAAGATTGTGAATATACCAATAATAAGTTATACATCGAGCTCCAAAAATCATCATCTCATTTCTTCACTAAAGGAGATAAATATTAACACCAATAACTTCATCAAGCCTTGTTAGTTCTGAACATGAATTTCTAACTCGATATCTTTGACATAATGGACAACGGATTCTTTGGTCAATAGCCAAAGAATCTCTATACAAGAGGTGCCAATGGAAAAGATAAAGGTACCACCACAATCAAACTTAGGTAAGGGCAATGATGAGGAATAAAGGATAACTCGAGTCCCCCTACATAAACACCAATTTGTAAATGTAGAGAATGAAGGAAGATGAATCAGTATCCACACAGAAACTCTTATGTGGGGATATTAATGATTTTTAGTTTTCTTATTAGGGAGATGGACGAAGCTATCACAAATTGATAAGATAAATCGTATAGATTCAAGTCATGGAGAGAGAGAGGAAAAAAACACAAACTACAAGAGAGGGAGTGATGGAATCAATATTCTTCTTCTTTCTTGCACCTTCTTCTTGCTCATTAGGTGGATTGGATCTTCTATTAATCTCTCCCAAGGTGTTTTCCTCTCTAAAAACAACCCAAAACCCTAACTTTCTCACTCTAGGGCGGCTCTTCTTTGAAAAGTGCAGCAAGAGGGGTATTCATAGAAAGCCGATGGTGGTCAAAGCCTCCACGTAGTGACCTGGCTGTGAACAACTGGAATGTCTCTGAATCGCCCGAAACGATACGTTTTTTTACTCCGTCCTTAGGCTTCGAGATCGCGGCCTCCTTCACAAGATCGCGATCGTGATCTTTGTGTCACGGGCGCTATTTTTTTCGCGGTCAAAACGCACCATGTCCGCGATTCGACTAGGGAAACTTTATGTCTTCTTCTTTGTCGCCTGCTGAAGTTTGCAACTACTTTTCACGGCCGCGATCTTCAGCTTGCGAACTTGGTCACGGTCTGGTGGTCATGGTCGTGACTAGTGCCTCTTCTCCCCTTCTTGCTCTTATGCTTTCCAATCGTGCTCGGATGAACTCCAATTGATTCCCGATCAATCCCAAATGCATATAAGACCTGGAATTTCATCACAAACACTTGGGAAAGTATAAAATATGCCAAAGTGGGGGTAGGTTCCCCTATGAAAACCTTCATACCATGAATACCTATGCCAAAATGCATGTTTTGCGAATAGGAACGAATATGGGCATAAATAACTTGATATGTGGCCTAGACACAGTGATTTATCATGCAAATCAATGTAGTTAAAATCGCGCTTTAAAACTTAAAAACTTACGATTTTACGTTTATAGGTCACTAAAACGCTTCTACGCAAAATCTCAGTTTTTATAACTTATGTAGTTAAAAACTCCGCTTTAAAAGTTAAAATTTTAGGATTTTACGCTTCTAGATCCTCTAAACTTTTATACGTAGAAACTCGCTTTTGACTACATTGATGCAAATGCCTTAAGAAAAAGGGCTAAATAACGCTTATTTTAGGTGTTATCATCTCCCTAAAAAGTGAAAACCACTATAGAGGAAAACAATGTATCTTGTGAGTTTAATAATAATATTATTTATTTTATTTTTATCCCAATATCTAGTGGTTAAAATGATATATGTATAATTGAGGCCACAAATCGATGTTATAGATCGAAAGAATTGACTAGAATGTTGAATATGTGTACAGATGAGATCAGACAAAAATATTAACCATTTTTAAAACCATAATATATGAGTCGGGTGATTGAAATGACCAAACCCACGCCCACGTCCACCTTCTTCTCTTTGTGCCTTACTTTTTTTTGTCATAGATATAAGTTGGCAGAGGTACATATACATGAAAATCATAAATACGATAGTCACTACTAAGCGAACTATCGATTCAAGAGCCTTTTAAGCCACAATATGGGCAGCTCTGAACAACCTAGGCATAAAAAACTGATAACACAAAATATGCTAAATTGCAAGTTTGGTCATTGGAATTACTTAAAAATTTCACGTTTGTCACTAAAATTAATTTATTCCATTCGTAGTCACTTAAATTAGGTTAACAGTTCAAGTTTGGGCACTGGCCGTTAGTCTCCGTTAACTTTTACTGATGTGGCGGTCAACTCTTATAGTTGACGTTAAATGAGTGACGTGACAATTAAAAAATTAATAAAATAATTTAATTTAATTATTTTTTATTTTTCACCTAATTATTATAAAAATTAAAAATTCCTAATTCTTTTTAATTATTATTCTCAACCGCTCGTCGCCGTTCCTCTCCCCTCCGGTCGACGACCTCTCCCGGCCAGCCAAGCCTCGCGCCATCACCGTCTTGGTCCTTTGAGCATTCGAGAGAGAACCAATTGAAAGTGGGACAATTGATTCTTTCACCAGTGGAACTTTCGCGCTTGCAGCGCGGGTGAAAGAATTCGGGAAGGAAGATCCCAGGAGGGAGATTTACTCCCACAAAGTTGGGCTGACTCTAACAATGGTGACGCTCTTTTACTACTTCAAACCAATCTACGACGGGTTCGGTGTGAATGCGATCTTGGCCGTTCTCACCGTTCATCTCCCTACCATAAGCTGACTCTATCAAGAGATCTGATGGGTACAGACCCAGTCTTGAGTTGCAACCGTTGCCGCCATTGCCGAAACCTCCTTCCACAGCTGCTTCTTCGAATCTCCATCCTCGTCTTCCTCCTCGTCCAGTCTCTGTTATTGATGTTGCTGCTCCAAGGCCAGAGTACGAGAGCTCCGGATCTCCAACTTCATCATCGTCTAGTGAAGAGAGCAACAACGACTAGTGAAAATTTTAAGTAATTCCAGTGACCAAACTTGCAATTTTTAAGTAATTTCAGTGACCAAACTTGCAATTTGATAAACTTGCAATTCCAGTGACCAAACTTGCGTCGTGGATTTGAAAATTGAAGGTTTTGGTATAACTTGGGTTTTGAAAAACCATGAATATATGAGGGTTTTAGGTTCATTATGAATTTAATAAACACCATTGTTTGTTTGATGGATTTCATGATGGATTCTGTTAATTAAATTTGTATGTATGAAGTGTAATTTACCTTTACTGTCCTCAATAATATAAGAAAGGAAAGCAAATATGAAGAGTAGGTTGGTAAAAAATGATGGACTTCAAAGTCCATAATCAAATCCCACCTAAATACGTAAAACTTTTAAGTTCGTGAGGTCCACGAATTTAGTAACTTAAAGTTTGTGGGATCCACACATTTATTTCTCCTAACAAACTATGAATTTGGATCAAAATCGATAATAAATCCAATAAAAAAATTGGATAATAAATTTAAATCCATTATCAAATCCATCAAGCAAACAAGCGCTTAACTACTTCCCCTAGTCCCCTCTCTTTTGTTCCATCACGGCTCTCCACGTGTTCAAATCGCTTCCGCCCACCAACGCAAAAGCAAAGAGGAAACAACCTTTTACAACTCGGCGAAGCAACCCCGCAGCGTGGGCCCCACCCTGTTTTATCCACTCAATTTCTCGTCCCTTCTCTGTCTTCCAATATCTCCGTCATTCTATTTTCATTTTTATTTTATTTTAATACGAGTTAGTTCCTCCTTTCTTTTCTTCCGTCTCTGTCCTCCAGCTCCCTCTCTCTCTCTCTCTCTACCTCCTTCTTCTGTTCAAGATTTTCTAAAACAGTAAAAATCTAGACCGGGAACCAAGCCTCTTCTCCCTCTCTGCTACTTTGCCGCTCTCCACGTTCCCGCTGCAAAAAAGAAATTCACCCCCTACTACCACCACCATCACAATCTCCCTATTTTCCCTTTTTAACCAAGGAAAAAAACAAAAACCCTAACCCTATCTCCAATTAAATTCACCCCCCCCTTCGCCTTCTTTCCTAATCCCATCCGACTTCCTTTCATTTCTTTTTAACAAAATTGATTGATTCTATCTTCTTCTTGATTCGGAGAATTTGTTGTTTGATTTCACGGACCTCTCAGATCAACCCAGATCTGGATTCCGACTATGTGAACGACCCTTCCTCCTCTCTCACTGTTACTCTCTGTGTTCTTGAATCTGATACTCAATCCCCACTTCCCAGTTACCTGATTGGAATTCGTATCGAGGTAGGTTGGTTGCCTTTTAGAGCTTTTCTTGTTTTTTTTTATTTTAATTAATACCTTTTCTTGGCAGTTTTAGTTCCGTGTTACTATTTTTTGAATTTTTGTTGGAGCGGTTTTAGCAGTTTCCCCCCTCCTCCTCCTTTTACCAGTCTCAAAACGGTTCGATTCCGGATTTGATGATTTTTTTTTTCTGTCTTCTGGGAATTGCGCTAATTCTTAATTCTGTGAATTTGATGCAGCAACATGCATTGCTTTAATCACCTGCTTCTGTGATTTGAGTGCTGGCAAGTGTGGTTCAGTTCACAATGGGGGAAATTGCAGCTCCAGCTTGTCAGGAGGTCACTGTCGATGGGGTTACGGACGACAAGAAGAATGGTTCTGAAACAATTCCATTGAACGGCGATGAAGATGGGGATACCCCGGAGCCTAAAGATTCGAAACTGGGGTTGCCTCCCGTTAAGGAGCAGCAGGGGAAAGAAGCTTCCCACGAGGATATGACGTCTGAGGTTTACAACCCAGTAATTTCCCCGAGGGAGAATAATGCCGCCGCCTCTGGTGGCTGCTTGGGCACTGCCAGCCCGAGGACTGAAGTTGTGGCGAGGACTAATAATGAAGTGGGTTCGAGCGAAGTGACGTCACATTCTTCTGGTTCTTCCAGCCCAGCCGAGACCTTGAGCGAGGATGGGGAACCCAGCAGCGGAAACAAAACCAACAATTCGGCAAATGATTCCTTCAGTCCATTCTCCACGACCCATGTGGTGTTGGAGATTCCCAAGGATGCAAGCAGTTCCTCGGGGATTAGGAAGATTACTTTTAAGTTCAGCAAAAGGAAAGAGGATTATGATACTGCTCCTGCAGCTCCTACCTCGGTTGAGCACATGAATGACGACAATGTTCACGAATCATCATATGGCTACGAGAAATATGGTAGGGGATACTCTGGATGGAATGATTCCGATGTCTATATGACTGAAACGCAAGATGCTTACTCGTTCATGCCCACTATGGAAACTACTCTGTCTAAGAAGCTTTTAGCCAACTATCCAACGAATGTGAAGAAATTGCTCGCCATTGGGATCCTTGATGGTGCTCGGGTCAGATATATCTCTTTTGCTCCAGAGGTGAGTGTCTTGTCCTTCTTGTTCCTTCTGGGAATCTTAAAGTTGAATCTAAACATAGGCTTAATTTTGATTTCTATTTATTTATTTCCCAGCGAGAGTTAGAGGGGGTCATAGCAGGTGGCGGATATCTATGTGGCTGTTCTGTCTGCAGTTTCTCCAAGGTAGGTTTCTTGGCATATGGCTGTTTACCTTATTGATGTTAATGGATTATTTAGCAACGAAATAATATATGAGCAGGTTCTCAGTGCATACGAGTTTGAGCAGCATGCTGGTGTTAAGACCAGGCATCCAAACAGCCACATATATTTAGACAACGGCAAGCCAATCAGTAGTGTCGTTCACGAGATAAAAACTGCTCCATTGAATGAAGTTGAGGAAGTGATAAGGGATGCGGTTGGTTCCTCCCTCAATGAAGAGTTCTTCCAGAACTGGATAGGTACATCTGATTCTCCGACCCTCGTTTGTCCTAATTGCTCTATTAACTCCCTCAAACTAAGTGCGTAACCGGACTGACCTCCCCCTCAAATAAAATTGTGTATAGCTGGGTTCCAGCAGAGCTATGGAATGGTTGAAGAAGATAACTACTTTGTCAAAAAGCCTAGTTATTTACTTCAGTCTGATGTCAGGTAACAATTACTACCTTCTGAATTTCATCTATATCCTTTGTGCTAGTTCGGCAATTTAAACTCTTTTCCTTCCTTATATACATTCAAATTGTTCCCGTGTTTGTCTCTTCTATATGTTGGTTTGGCCAAGTTAACACATTCTCCTTATGTGAATTCATATTTGAGCATGTCTTCGTCTGATCTTGGAGGTCTTTGAATTTGATGGTTTGATGAAGCTTGCAGTCTGTTGGATGTGTTGAATGGTATCATGGGAACTGTATCTTTGTCTTAAAGTAACTTTAAAATTTGAAAGGTTGATCCTGTGACTTGTCTCCAAATCTGGAGAAGTGTCATATTTTGAAATGCCCCTTAATGTGTTGTATTTGGTCTACATGTTGGAAAGGTAAATTTATCCTGCTCTGTGGGTAATCATGCTTCGCGTTATGGAGCTGCAATGAGAATTCACTTAGTTCCCTCTGATTTAGATATATTAGTAGTCATGAGCTGCACATATGTGATGCTCTTGCTTACTTTTGAATCTTCTTATTCTTTGACCATAGACAAGCATCCGTTTTTATTTTATTTTATATTATTACAGTACCTTTTGTCTTTGGTTTAAATGTTTGCTTATTTTGGCCGATAATGAAATTCTTTGATTTGTTTGGTTATTAGGGGTTCTTTATCTAGATTTGAGAAATTTTCATCTCATGATTGAGAAACTAGAGAACTTGATTGGGATCATAAGATAGGTGCTCTAAATCTCTGTGCCCATAGATGGTCAACGTTTTTTATTGAACAAACAGCAGATCATGTCCAAAGGTTTGTGACAGTGCATTATCCGTCGTCTATTTGTGTGTAGTGTATATAGATGTATGCATTTTTTCATCACACTAAAACAGATGTTGAATTGCGATTGTTGGAGAAAGCTAGGTGTACATTTGATTCCTTTGTCCTAAATGTGTTCATCATGTACATTTGACTGTTTGTGATTTGCTAAGGGTATTTTGTTTTGATTTTGCAGCTGCTCTAGTCATGCTTTTGAAGAAAGTTACTGGAGTGGGTATGGTTCTTATGTAGATAACAGGTCAATCAGCCAGCAGCCGTACATGGAGACTACATCTGGGAAAAAACGTTCGATGAAGCGGTGATCCATCCTCGTCATGTCTATGTTAAAATTTCATTTTATTGTCCCCCTTATGCAGCTTCCTATTTGTCAATCCCCACAACTATTTTCTGGATCTATGTACAAAAACTGATAGAATTCATGGTAACTCCCATCTTGCAGAGCTCGTGACCATGCTTCTGGCTCTGTTCGGAAAAATAATTCAAAAAGAAGGTATTATTCCGTCAGCTCCTTCTTTGCACTGCTTCTTCAGTTCTTTTCATTATGTTTCATACTAAACATCGTCCTCTATAGCTCCCTAGCTGTATTTTCTTTCGAGTCCTGTTCCCTCCTTAATTTTCCACTCTTATCAATCTCAGAAGGGACAATGATCTTCATCGGTTACTTTTCATGCCAAATGGTCTCCCTGATGGTGCTGAATTAGCTTACTTTGTTAAAGGACAGGTGAGTTTGTTAGTTGTCATGTTAGTGGCATCTCATGCAAATGCATCATTTTAGCGTTTGTAAATCTTATTTTATTTTTATCCAGGAAATGCTGAGTGGCTACAAGTTGGGCAACGGTATATTTTGCAACTGCTGTAAGAAAGAGGTCAGATCAAAATCATTGTGATCACGTGGAATTGGATTTCTGCATCTGATTCTCAACTAACTTTTCTCTGGCATCTTTCATTCACCAACTCAGATCAGTCCTTCACAGTTTGAAGCCCATGCTGGAATGGCTGCAAGGCGTCAACCGTGAGTAGCTTCTGAACTTATGTGGGAACCTTTTCCATTGCGATTCATTGTTAATCAGGTATTTGTGTTGTTGTGCAGATATCGTCACATCTATACTTCTAATGGAGTGAGCCTCCATGATATAGCCATTTCATTGGCAAATGGGCAAAATCTTGTTACTGGTGTCAGTGATGATATGTGTGCAAAATGTGGAGATGGAGGGGATCTTGTTTATTGTGATAATTGCCCTCAGGCTTTCCATCGAGGTATGTCTCTTTTTCTTCTTTAATCTTATTATTGATGTGATTCTAATACAGGATTTAGCTGTCCATGTCCTGTTCATTCAGAAAAGTATTAGTTAATTGACAGATATATTTGTTTATCTGCTTTTCTGGGTACTTAAATAAGAACTGTGTGCTCTAATTGAATGGAAGTATGTGATGCTTTAATTGCCTTTTGCATTCTTGTTTGATCTAATTGGATATCCTTTGTTGCAGCATGTATAGAGCAACAGTATATTCCAGAAGGTCCTTGGCATTGTCCAGACTGCAAGGAAGTTGGTCCTGAAGAAAATTTTGCTAGAGCTAATGTCATCCGGTTGAAGCGAGTTGTTCAAACACCAGAATATGATGTTGGTGGTTGTGTTGTTTGCAGGTTTGTTGGTCTGAAACTTCCAACTCCATTTAGCTTGTCCTAAACAAGAGCAAGCTCAAACTTTTAGTTTGGTTATCTTTTCAGGGCTCGTGATTTTATTTCTGGTACTTTTGATGACCGCACAGTTATCTTCTGTGATCAGGTATGCATGCTTGATTGTCTTTGCCCCTCCATAGCTCTCTCATTGATTTTGTATTTTATGGTTGTTAATCTCATCTTCGTGTCTCCCAGTGCGAGAGGGAATTCCACGTTGGTTGCTTGAGGGAGCGTGGTCTGTGTGATTTAAAAGTAAGTTGGTAATCTTGCAGTTTAACATTTTTTTTACGCCACAGCAACGGGGTACTGACAAATCATTTTATGAAATTTCCTTGTAGGAAATACCGGAAGGAAAATGGTTTTGCTGTAATGAATGTTATCGGATCTATGTCGCTCTGCAGAAGTCTATTTCTAGTGGAGTGCAGACAGTATCTGATTCTCAGCTGGACATCATCTGTCGAAAGCACTCAGAGAGAGGATTAAACATTGATAGAGCTAATGTCCAATGGCATATTCTGATGGGAAAAGAACGCCGTGAAGAAGATCTTCCCTTCCTTTCGAAAGCTACATCAATTTTTCGGGTGAGGTGTTTTTTTGTTTGATTCCACACATGTCTCAGTGCTTTGCACTTTATTGAAGCTTAGGAATCGCCTTCTTTCAAATTTAGCTTCAGTTCCCAACTTCCCATTCTTACTCAATCCCAACATGTTCCAGGAGTGTTTTGATCCCATCAAAGCTAGAAAAGGTCGTGATCTGATTCCTCTTATGGTGTATGGGTAAGTTGTTCATCTGTCCTCTGCTTGGAGCTGTTTTTGTTGCTATTAAGCTGATCTTTTGTTCTGCTTAAACTTCATGCCATGAGAAATAAATAACACCATCTGGACAAGTAAAGCAAGCACTAAAAACATCCTTAATTAAACAGAGCTAGCACTTAAAGCAATGTGTCCGGCTTATGAAAATTGTATTTGGTTGCTTTATGATCCCGATCAATGAAACGCGAGTCGTGAATTTTGTTTATTGGATTGTTTGGTCCAAACTATACTTCATAGGATAATGAATATTTTTTACCTACAAACTAGAAGTTTGCCACTGGAAACTTCTCGTGATCAGTTTAATCCCTTCTGATTTTTGTTTCTTGGTGGATTGTATATCCTTGTGCTGAGCATGTTTATTGCACAAAGTTCTTGATTGAAGGTGCTGATCATCTTTTTTATCTGCATGCAGGAGGAACATATCTGGACAAGAGTTCCAGGGGATGTATTGCGTGGTTCTGACTGTGAAGTATGTTAAAAAGCATCCTATTTTTTTATTGTATCATTTGCCCTTACTGCTGCTTTTGTTAATTAGCGACTTATGTATGGTATGCAGGAATGTTGTGGTATCTGCTGGTCTCCTTAGATTTTTCGGCAGTGAGGTTGCTGAACTTCCCCTAGTGGCGACCAGTCGAAAGCATCAGGGGAAAGTAAGTATCTGGTGGTGTTGGCTACTGTTCTGCTCTTGGTTTTGTCCTCCTCTTGGATATTAATCGACATGCTTTTGTTATCTCTAGGGTTACTTCCAAGCTCTCTTTTCATGCGTGGAGAGATTTCTGCGCTCATTGAAAGTGGAGAGCCTGGTGCTTCCCGCTGCTGTGGAAGCCGAATCGATCTGGACTAAAAGATTTGGCTTCGAAAGGATGAGCGATGAAAATGTAAGTTGCAACTGATTAATGGCCTTCATGATTTTCATTAATGTACAACGGTAATAACATGATGTTCATCTATTTACTGCTATGTTGTACTTGCATTGGATTACACAGTTTTCTTCTACCTTCTGTGGGCAGCCATAACTGACTCCACCTTGCATTTTGATGTTGTAGTGGATAAAGTACTCGAAGGAATTCCAGCTGACGATGTTCGGTGGTACATCGATGCTGGAGAAGAAGGTGCCAGTGGAAATCGACTGAACAAAGACTGGTGCGTGCGCTTCAAACTTTCCAATAACTCCAAGCCTGGGCAAGGAAGAGGGGGAAAAAAAGGGAAGAAGTAGAAAGGTGCCTCAGAGATTTAGATAGTAGTAGGGCTCTTTAACCATGCGGGGTTTTGGGGAAATATGCTTCTGCTGCATCATTTATTGTTAAAAATGGTTTCCTTCCTGCTCCGGCAGCAGTAAGGGATTCTTTTTGGATGAAATATTTCTTGGTAGCAGCTGAATTTGATAGCTGCAAAAGGGTATTAGGGAGGGTAAAAAATTAGGGCGGAATTTCGTAGGTAGACAGTCGGCAGGGTTTTCGGTCTTTCTCTATTTTGATAAAAAAAAAATGCATGCGTGTGAAGCCGTCTGTACTTCTCACTTCTCATACGGACGTATCGTGCACAGGGAAAAAGGGCACTCTTCTTTTTATTATCGGTACCCTTTTTCTATATGAATCCCAGAAACAGTTCAGAACTTTGTGGAGCATAGATTGTTTCTTATGTTTTCTTTTAACTTAGAGCATTTATATCAATGCAATTACAAAATTAATTGCATATTAAATTTTTATTGCCACCTCAATCTTATTGCAATCCAACTCATATTAATGTCATGCACTTACCTCATGCAATCCACTTGGAATAACATATGTAGTTAAATATTATATTTAATTTATATGAAAATATATAGAAAAAAATAAAGAGAGAAGAAAATAATGAGTTCCTATTTTTTAGTCCATTTTGACTTGTATATGCGATTGCAGTTGTTGCAAACTTGTAAATATGCCATGTGTAGATACATTGATGTAATTGGTTTTGCAATTGCCAAAATCCATGTCATGTCATCTTGCAATTGGAAATGCAAAACCAATGTGGATACTAATTTCCAAGAATGGGCCAAAAGGGTATTTTCTCCTCCTAGGTCAAAAGCTCAATTGACATGAAATGAAATCAACGCTCATACAATTCATAATAAGCATCCATCATATAGATAATATGAGTAATCAAATATAAGATTAGTTACATACATCAATATCAAACCAAAATGTAGACCTAGGGTTCATCAACCTAAATGAAGATGTCTAATTCATAGAGAATAAGAGAGAATACACTATAAGTTTAGAATCTTCAATCTTCATCTTCTAGTGGATGTTCTTCAAGTTTCAATAGTGATTTGATCCTCCAAAATAGCTCCTAGAAGGCTAGAACCCTCCTATTTTTCTGTACAAACGTACCCTTCTAATATGACAATTTAACGATAATACTTTTCCGTTAAAAATTCTGTAAAGTCGTCGTTAATTGGGGTGCAACTTTCCATCTTTGCAATGATTTTGTTTGATGGTAAAAGTAGCTTGTGCAATGGTATAAGGAGCTCTGGAAAGGAAATTATTCTTGTTTGGTGGGACTGTGATTCTAGTTATTATGGTCTTTCCATGTGGATATGTAGCTCTTAAGCTACCATTTTAACTCAGTCAGTTTACTCTTCTAAAACATTCGGTTATACATTCATTTTCAAAATCACCAGAATCATTAATGACATTAGAATTGTTTCATGTAAATGGTTATTAGTCTCACTATGACGTCTAGTGCACTTGGGGGTCTTTATACTTGAAATTTTGAGTGCTTGAATGTGTGCATTTGGTTAATTCGATGAGTATAACTCTAATTTTATCCTGACTAGTCATGCAGTTCCTGAAATTGCCAACTATAATATCTCGTCTTCTGTATTGTCCATTCATGTGGGTTATGTAGGAGAAGTTTTATAGAATAAATAGATTAAGTGAATGATAAAGCTTGTGAATGAGACAAGAAGAAACTGTATTTTTTTTATTTGGGAGCAAATATTTGGTGCTTGATTGTGCTAGCTCCCAATTCCCATCACTTAACTAAAAAGGTAAAAAAAAAAGTCGTTTGCATATCAATTCTCATCCCTATGCACCGATTTACTAGCAAATTAGCTAACTACATTTGAAACTGCTTAATATGTTTTGCATTCTGAATAACATTATATATTAGTGTCATGTTTAAAACTTAAAAGATTTGGAATTCTTTATGGATAAATTTGATATAAATCTTACAAATATAACTTGTATTTTGAAAAATATAAATAAATAAGTAAACTATATCATTTTAAAAAATTGCTTGTACAACCATAGATCAGCTGCGAATCCAGGACATAGTAGAGCAGTGGACCTCATTTCATTAAAAAAAATCAGACATCGTAAAAAAAAATATAATAACCATAAAAAAATTTCAATGTGAATTGTACATGATGATCTTTTATTCAGTGAATCCACAAAAAATGGAGTCTACATCTATACCAACATCATACTCTCTTTTAATTAAAATAGTTAAGCAATAGGCAAAAAATTAATCGCTCATTTTCTTGCGCAAATCATTTTTCACATGATTCATTGTTGAAAAGGTTCTCTCCATAGTAGCCCTTGAAACGGGCACCGTCAACACTAGAAGAATCAATTTATATTGTATGTTCATCCCTATTCCACTTGTTGCTCTAGTAATGTTTCAAGTGAAAAAATCTCATATTTCTTTTAGTCTTTTACGTTTTAGATTTCATTTTTTTAGACGAAAATCATTGGGGCTAGAATTTCTATGCTAAAACAAAACCTCGCATTTATGCTAACCCTTGAGATAAACACGATGTATGACATACACAAGCTTTTGCATGGTGTGTACGATAGAAGTTACCATATATGTACACCATGCAAAAGCTTGTGATCGATTTATGAATGGTTTTTAGTTACGTACATAAAAAAATTGTTTGATTTGTAGCATAAATGATTAATATACTTCACAATCTTTTTTTTACATGAAAACGTTACAAATCTTTTAAAATATGAAAAATCTGCTGAACAATTTTTTTTGTTAAATCTATCAATAAATTTTAAATTATTATAATTTTATTTGCAAACACACCTATCCGAAAAATTTTGGGCCGTAATTGTTCACGACCTTCCTTTATAGTGTTGGGCACTTTCTGGAGAAAGAAATAATTTTGTTCTATAGAGGGCGGGGTAGTTAAAAAGGGGGAAAGAAATGATTTTGTTCAGAGACGGAACGGAATACGGGGAAAGTACGAGTACGAGCTGCAATTTTCCCGTTTGAGAAAAGCATAGCAGAGACAACTCCGAACAATTTTCCCGGCAAGAAGCCGACCATTACTTTACGGTGCAATTCTTTACTTGACTTCCCATAAAATCCCCAATTAAGGTCTCATTTTTCCTCCACTGCCGCCGCCGCCGCCGCCAACTACTCCAACTCCTCCGATCATCGTCGGAGCTCGGCATAACTCAACAGCAGAAACATGTACGCTTGTGCTCCCCCTTCCAACTACATTCCTCTGAAATTCTCTCCGGAACTCCGGACCTCAAAGGTGAAGTAAAACAACTTTCCATCCAATAGCGTGAATTAGTTCCTTGGAAACGAAGAACTTGCAGTATTAACTCTTCTCTTTCGGATTGCAGAACTTCAGCTCGTTCCGTTTGACTAAGAGGGATTTTAAGGTGTTCGCGGTTGCGAGTATGAATGAGGCGGCTAATTTCATACCAGCAGCTCCCATTATCCTTCCCCAAGGACCCTGGAAGGAGGTGAGTAAAATGCGGTTATCCCACTCTTCTCCAGTGTTATTGGTCTTTATTCTATGCATTGAACCAGCTGGAATTGTTGCCCTTCACTATAGGGATTGTTTGACAGGCGACTAATGATGTTGGCTAGGGAACTTGATATTTCATTTGATTCCATTATGCTTAGTATGAGGGATTTATCAATGTAGATTCCTGGTGGTGTTACCGCTGCCAATGGATTCAAAGCTGCTGGCATTTATGGCGGGCTTAGAGCCAAAGGGGAGAAACCTGATCTTGCACTTGTTACTTGTGATGTGGATGCCATAGCTGCAGGTTCAATTTCTTTCCCTTGGTTGTAGCCCACTTATATATATTTGGTAATAGTGTGGATGTGGTTTGTAGTGATCATAATAAGATATGTAAAAGCTTAATTAGTTCACACTCTTTCACTTGGCAGGGGCATTTACTCAAAACATGGTCGCTGCAGCACCTGTATTGTACTGTAAAAACGTATTAAATTTATCACAAACGGTAAGCTGTCATGCTTACTTTGAGCATAGTTTTGCTTGTGGTTTGTGAATTAGTTGTGCTAATTTAATGTTTACTGTGTTGATGAAAGCCGTTTTTGATTGCCTGAGCGGCAATTCCATTCCGTTTTGAGGTGCAGAATGAGAATAGACATAGTTGTTTTGCTTTCTCTAGACCCAAGTATTTAGATTCTGTCTTGGTGTGCTTGTTTCTATTTCAGGCACGTGCAGTGCTAATAAATGCTGGCCAAGCAAATGCAGCAACAGTAAGCATTGTCAAATTAACTTTGCTTACAGTATATGGCTACCCTCTCTATTACCATTTGCATGTTCCAAGGATTTAGTGGCTGAGATTGTTCTTGGTCATTTTCAGGGAAATGCTGGTTACCAAGATGTGATAGAATGTGCTGATGCTATTGCTAAGGTACGACTCTCTGGAGATAATATCCAAGTATCTTTTGTATCTTATTTCATAAATCCTCATTCATTTCTTTTTCGTTGCTGCAGCTGCTCAAGATAAAGCCACATGAAGTTTTGATTGAATCAACCGGTGTAATTGGTCAAAGAATTAAAAAGGTAAACATACAATGCCCAGCTCTTCTTTTACTTTTTAAACAAATCCTAATCAACAGCTGGAACATGCAGGAAGCTCTTCTTAGTTCACTGCCCAAATTGGTTAGCTCATTGTCGACCTCCACTGAAGGGTAATCCTTGTTAAACTGTTCATAATAGTTAGCTATCAAAATTGCATCATTGTTTTATGAAATGTGCAGCTTCATTTGGTCTTGTACGATTACATTCCAAATGCTGCTTCCTTCTCAAATTGCCATATTCACTTTCTCATTGGCGTTACATTTTGCTTTAACATCCAGTTATATGGTTGGCAAATGTGCAGGGCAGGTGCAGCAGCAGTGGCAATCACAACGACTGACCTTGTGAGCAAGAGTGTAGCCATTGAGTCTCAGGTGTGCAGTAGACGTCTAGGATCATGATGAGAACAGTTATATTTCCTCCTGAGGAACATTGATTACTGCATCTAAAAAATGCTACCTAATAGTTTAACACGGTTCAACTTTACCAGTATATATCCGCCATTTCATATTTTTGTTGCTTTACTGGTACAAGCATATATAAAACTTGTTAAAATGCTACAGGTGGGAGATGCAAATATAAGAATTGGGGGAATTGCAAAAGGTTCTGGTATGATACATCCAAATATGGCTACCATGCTCGGTGTAAGTTTGTAGTCACTTCTTTCTCTTAAAGTTTCAACAGATAGATTATTCTAATTTCACTCTACAACTGTTCAGGTAATAACAACTGATGCCCTTGTGGAAAGTGAAGTCTGGAGAAAGATGGTGAAGATTGCTGTCAATCGTAGCTTCAACCAAATAACGGTAGTTTACATTGTTTGTTTAACCGGTCTGCTTACTTCTGTAGTAAATCGCTGTTTTAGTTTTCGCCGGGTCCTGGTATTTAAAATTAGTATTACTATGATTGCTGCTTGAAAGGTGGATGGAGACACCAGTACGAATGACACAGTCATAGCGTTGGCTAGTGGGTTATCTGGAAAAACCCCGATATCTTCTCTACATAGCCATGAGGCAGAACAACTTCAAGCAGGCCTTGATGCTGTAAGCTTAGTTAACCCTAGACTCAACTTGATATCCAATTTCACACCTGAAATTTATGTGCTTGTCTGTGCACAATTTATGAACCAGTTGCTTTATTCGGCTAAGAATAAAACATGTGCTTTCAATCTACCATTCCTAGGTGATGCAAGGCTTGGCCAAATCAATAGCTTGGGATGGAGAAGGGGCTACATGCTTGATTGAGGTATGCTAAGCAGGCAGCCATAGTTAATGACAGGCACTGAATCCTGACTGGTAATAGCTTGCTTGATTTTCCGCAGGTCACAGTAGTAGGGGCAGAAAGTGAGATGGATGCAGCAAAGGTTGCACGTTCAGTAGCATCTTCGTCTCTTGTCAAGGCAAGAAGCAGCAATACTTGATCACTGATTCAATGATTTTAATCTCAGATCTTCTTTCCCCAGTTCTTTAATTCTGCATTGATGATGAAGTTCAGGCGGCAGTATATGGGAGAGACCCCAACTGGGGACGAATTGCTGCAGCTGCTGGCTATTCAGGAATCCCATTTGACCAAAACAAACTCCGCATACTGCTCGGGGACACTCTACTGATGAACAATGGCCAACCATTGCCGTTTGACAGGTCAACTATTACTACTACTGCTACTAGTATTTTGTCTCGATTCTCTCTAGTCTCTCAAATATTGTACCAGTGAGCCTGATTCCTGTTTCTTTGCCAGGGCTGGCGCAAGTAATTATCTGAAGAAGGCAGGTGAGACCCATGGCACTGTTGCCATCCAGATTTCTGTTGGTAAGGCTCTGAACTCCAACTGAGCTTTTCTCCCAGTGGCAATACAGAGACGAGCATTCTTAAGCTGTTGATGAACCCCCTTTTGGCCTTTTCAACACTTAACTTGCATTCTCTTTTATTTACTCCATTCTTAAGGTGTTGAACACACACCATTTGTTTTGACTGTTCTTTTCCAACCAGGCAATGGAACAGGAGGGGGGCAGGCATGGGGCTGCGATTTGAGCTATGATTATGTCAAGATAAACGCCGAGTACACAACCTAGGCAAAACTCCTTCATTGTATGCCTTCACGACAAAATTCCTACAAAAAAAGCAACAGATGAAAATCTCTGCAAGGCACGCTGGAGTCTCAATTCGCCTCGGGGATTATCCAGAAGGCCTGATGAGTTTTCACAAGATAGCAACATTGTTGTTAGATTACTATTTTAGTTTGAAGGCTTGCCATCTTCTCAACTCTATTGACCGATACTTGGAATCATTTCTTTCCAATGGGTAACCTCTATTTTAACTCTAGTGATAACTGGTAAGATATAAAACTAAAACAAGGTCACTTTCGTTATTTAATCATTGTAGATGGTTGGAGTGGTTGCTATGTAGTAATCATTCTGATAAGGGGTTAACTACAAGCAGACAGAATGGCATTGTAAGCTCAGGAAGCAATAAGCAGTTTTTGGCATCGTTATCATTGTTGCCCTGAAAGGTTTAAGCAAGTGAATTGAAGATCTCCCTGCGTGGTTGGCATGCTTTCAAGTTTATAGCAACTAATCCCATAGACTGAAGAACAACCTCATAAGTCACAAGTCAAGAAGCAACTAAACCTTGGAAATAATAAGTCAGAAGTACATGATATTAGAACAAAGACACATCACACAGAACCAGGCTGGTCTCCTTGTCAAATTAACTACCAAACAACAATCGTACAGTACACAGCACAGATTTAGACGTTCTAAAAACTTCTACACTCCCATAAGAGCACTTATTTATTCACAGAAGAAAAAGGAAAGACACAAGCTGGAGGCCGGGCTTAGTTATCGCATGAAACCAAGCCAAGGTCTAAGATCACAACGCCTCAGCAACAGAGTAATGGAACTCTGTTACAGATTTCTTAAGGAAGCTGCTGCCGCAGTAGTCTGCACTAGCCACGTCAAAGCTAAGCCCACTTGAAGAATCGCCAAATCTGTCATCACAGATATCCAATGTTTTATAAGAAGACTTGTTGTCGGGCTTTCTCCGGATTTGCTTCTTGTCCTTGCTACTACTACTGCTGCTGCTGCCTCCTCGCGAGGATGAAGTACTACCACTACCCTTCTGTCCCTTCTTTCCATTCTTCTTGTTGTGGTGGTGGTTGTTATCTCTATCTTTCTCTCTTCTAGATTTCTTCTTACTGCTCTTCACCGTGTGGCAGAGAGAATTGGGAACAGGGTCATACACATCAGGAGCCCAAGTCACACTCAGCTGCTGCCTTGGTGCCGCCTTACCCATTTTCTCTCGGCTACCTTTCAGGGCAGGTATGAGCTTCAAAGGCCAGACAAAATGAAACAGCATGTCAACATGAATACAACACAGGTAAGGAATGACAAAAAGCTTCGCCCTTAACCAAAGGGTTACACACTACCATATAATGCACATGGTTCAGATAAACAACTAAACAAGCAGCAACTTCTTTGATAAGGAGGGCTTACTTTTATAGACTCGGCGGCCTGCAGGGGCTCTTCGGAGAACAGCAAGTGCAATGCTTCCTCTGGAGCATCATCATTTGATGAATCTAGACTGGATGCCTTGTCGCTAGGACAGGGGAATTTTGCTGCTTTGTCCAAGCAATTACTGGAGACAGGTTGAGGCCCAGATGAGCCGATTGATTCACAACCTCCACCTCCATCATCGAGGTGATCTCTATCAAATGCATCTGTTTCTTGAGTACTTTCGGACCTCAATTTTCCAAGATCGACTTCCTCTTCATCCACCAGAAGATCCTCAACAGAACCAGCACCACGGTGGCCAACGTCCATCGACAGTTACAAAGACAATGAACAGAAAACTGCAGGCAACAAGTGGTAATAGCAGATTAGCAAAAATTTTGGTCCACATTAAGCAAACATTTGCTAGTGGAAATGAAATCAATCTGATAATCCAACTGCACAAAACAAAACCCAAGCAAAATTTCAACTCGCCTGAACATGCAAAATGAATTGCGTGATCAGTTGAATGGACAAAATGGATTGTTGTGTGATGGCAAGTTCTTTCATATACGTTGTTGTGGGCACATATTGAATCTTATTGTCCAAGATGGATTGAAGGTGATAAAAGATGGTATTAGATCTGTGAGAGAAAGTGTAAAATATGTCGAAGGATCTGAAGGAAGGAAAATTAAGTTCAAGGAATGTGTTGAGCAAAGTGGGATGAAACAAACAAGGTCTTTGTGGTTGGATGTGCCAACAAGATGGAATTCAACTTATAATATGCTTGAGAGGGCAAATCATTATCGTCAAGCATTTGTAAACTTAGCAAGGATGGATTTTGAGTATAATGAATGTCCATCTTCTGAGGATTGGGAGAAGATAGAAGTGCTTATAAATTTATTGAAGCCTTTTGATGAAATCACAAAGTTATTCTCTGGAACTAAGTACCCGACTAGTAATCTGTTTTTTGAGAATGTTTGGAAGATTCATCTTGAGTTGAGGCTTCTTTGTACAAGTCTAGATGATGATATACGTGCTATGGCAAATGCAATGATGTTGAAATTCTTGAAGTATTGGAAAGACTACAACTTGGTGCTTGCTTTTGGAGTTATTTTGGACCCTCGTTATAAGGTTGCTTTTGTGAAGTATTGCTATGATAAGTTGGGTGGAGAATATGTTTCAAAAGCCGAGGATGTTGTGGATGATTTGGAGTTGCTTTTGAAAGAATATAAGACTCAATCGGCCACTTCAGCTACTCAAAGTGGTGTGTCTATGAATTCTTCAAGTGTTCCCTTGGACAATTACACTGCTGTAAGTATTTGTTTGTTGTACATTAATGAATTATGTTATTGTGTTTTGGTCTTTGGTTAATTATTTGTTTTGTTTCATGTACATGCTAACTGTAAAGGAAATGATGCACATGCTTATGTGTTAATATCAATGATATCTATATTTATTGTTTGTAGGGGTTTTATGCATCCAATATCAACCACAATACATCAACTAGTTCTGAGTTGCAATTGTATTTGGCTGATCCTTTGATACCTGCATTTGGGGAGATTGATGGAGTCGCTAAGCTACTTCCTTTTGATGTCTTGCAATATTGGAAGGACCATCAATTTCGATTTCCTCACCTCTCTAAAATGGCAAAGGATGTACTTTCTATTCCAATTTCATCAGTTGCATCAGAGTCTTCTTTTAGTTTGGGAGGAAGAATATTAACAAAATGGAGAACTTCGATTTTGTCTGATACTCTTGAAGCTGTTGTGACAACTCGTAATTGGATACGAGGATACCAAATGGGTAAGAAGAAACAAATTGTTATATTTGTATTGAACAAACTATTCTCTTTTTCTTATTATTTTCTTTTCACTGATTAATTGTACAGATGACGATGATGAAGATACGACTCGTGATGGAGAAGAAGTAAACCTTCTAGAGTGATCGTCATTTGGAATGCCAATTTGTCTTTTGGACATGTTTTATTGATATTTGAGGTCTTGAGACAATATGAACTATTATGAATCATGTATTCTTGTTATGATCAGACTTTTGTGAACTATTATTCATCTTTTTTATGATAGAATCATGATATTTGGATTTTAAATCTTATAATTATCTTATTATGCTAAATTAATATTTTATAATGTTATGTGCACTATTAGGTTGATGATGTATCTAAATCAATATTTGATGATGTTATATGCGTTAATAGGTTGATGATGTATTTATTATTCTAAGTTAATAATTGATGATGTAATGATCAGATTTTAGTGAACCAGGATTTCAAATGTCAACTTATAGAGTTATAGTTTATCTTCATCGAATTCCTTCTATTATAGTCGGGTTGGTCGGGTTACGGGTTCGGGTTAGTCGGGTTCGGGTTAATCGGGTTGCGGGTTGATCGGGTTGTGGGTTGGTCGGGTTGCGGGTCGATCGGGTTGCGGGTTGGTCGGGTTACGGGTTGGTCGGGTTACGGGTTAGTCGGGTTGCGGGTTGGTCGGGTTGCGGGTTGGACGGGTTGCGGGTCGGGCGGGTTACGGGTTATTGACTTTTAGTCAAAATCGGGTTGCGGGCGGGTTGCGGGTCGGGTTGATCGGGCGGGTTACTCGGGTCGGGTTACATTTTGACAGCTCTAACCAAAACGATGTCATCTCTAGCTTTCCTAATTTCAACGCATGCATCACTAATTCTTCGATTTGGAATTGCGATTCTAGGTGACTTACCTCGAGTATTCGTGAGGGTTAACTAAGTTATATTAGCATTTAAAATTGAACTAACATAAAAACATACTATAAAATTGTTATTTCAACTAAAAACCGCTACTTTTGCTAGACCATAATATTGGCAAAGAAAGGTTGCTATCCTCCAATTAGTCATTGGTCAAACTCTTCAGAAGAATGCAGAATCCTCAAGCTCTTCTTAATCAACCTCTTAACCTTAATCATGCTTGTAACACGCCACTTCAAACAAAGCCAGTCTATGGGCTTGAAATTTGCACAGGCCCACCATACCTTGCGCTTTAATCAACTGTTAATATTGGGGGTCGTGGACATTCGAACACACGACCACTTGGCCAAACCATCTTTAATACCATATCATTAACTAGTTGGTCTCAATAACTCGAGTTGTTGGGAGAAGGTAATGCTGGATCTTATACCACTCTCTAACACGCCCCCTCAAACGAAAGCCAAACCATGGGCTTGAAGTTTGCACATGCGATCACCATACCTTGTGCTTTAATCAACTGTTAATATTGGAGATCGTGGAGATTCGAACACACGACCACTTGGTAAAACCAGCTCTGATACCATGTCATAAATCCGTGTCTGTCCAAACTCCAAACTCGAATTATCGGGACCAACCGACAAATAATCTCTAAAATTTGAGATTCATATTGAAAACCTAAAAAGACAAAAAGCTTAACCAGCCAGAAAAGGGAATATGCAAATTCAACGTGCGTACGTAGCGTGGCGAGGGTATTACAGTAAACCTAAAATGATTTAAAAAGAAAACCAGAAGAGAGAAGAAAGAAGCAGCTACGCACGCACGATCTTCGAATTGGGAGAAGCCCGCAAAATCTGTCCGACCTCTTCTTTCCCCCCGGTTGTTAAAAACTCTTCCTCCCTCCGTCCATCCGCCCGCTCTCCCCCTTTCCGCGCTTTCACAATGCAGCTCGATGATCGCCGCTATCACGCAATTCATCCCTTGCGATTTCTGATCTCTTAGGAAGATTATTCCAAAATTCATTTGCTCGCTGTTCCACGCTGATCGGAGCTCCGAAATCGCCGCCGTAAACAGGTAGGAAGGGGGGGGCCTTGCGATGTCGTGGTTCAGGTCGGCAGTGAATCGAGCTGTCGTTGCCGGAGGTCACTCCAGTTTGTCGCGCACCGTCCGCACCGTCGCCGACACCGTCGTCGTTCAGGCCGGCAATGCCGTCACCGGTGGCGCTAAGATCATTACGGACCGAATTGTAATGCTGCAGCATTTCAATTCGAACTGCAGTTTTTTTGCTTTTATTTTTCAATTTTTGAAGGGATCTGTCTCTGACAAGGAGAAATTCCTCCTTTTCTCGCTTCAAAAGCAGGGTTCTCGGAATCTGCAGAACTTCCGGCAGACAGCGAAAAGGCTGGAGGAAGTCGCAGTTTCGTACAGAGGGATCGAAAGGGTTCAGCTGATGCGGCGGTGGTTGGTGGCGCTTAAGGAAATCGAGAGACTATCTGCTTCGTTTACCGCGGATGATAACAAATCAGCAGACGAAAATCTTTTCCCCGACGATTCCAAGGAATCCCCCAAAAAGCCCACAATGGTGACATTCTGCTTACCCTAGCCTTATCATCATCATCTCTTTCTCAGCCATTTCGGTTTGCTGTGTTTCTAATTCCCAATTGTGCTCCTCAATTCGCACAGATATATTACTTTGATCCTGATTTGGGGACGATGAATTTTCGCGATGTGTTTCTCTACAGTCAGGCTCTCGAAGGCATTGCTTTGTCCATGGTAAGTTAGAGAAACCCCGGTTTCCCCACCTAATTCTGGACTGAATTTTCTGTTCAACGCTAGCTTCTTGCATGTTAGTTGCCTATAATCTCTTTCTCTTTTGAGCTGTGTATTTGCTGATACATGGAGGTATAACCTAGGTTAACTCTTTTGTGTGACGCAGATTCTTGAAGCACCAAGCGTGGAGGAAGTCTCTATGCTCCTAGAGATGTTTGGGTGAGCGTTGATTTTTCGTTTCAGGTCTCAGTTCCCCTTTTAGGATTCTGGTTTTCAGCTCTCATACACGCTCTGTAAGATTTCATGTTTTGGTTTGGTTCTATACAGGCTTTGTCTTGCAGGAGGGAAGGAAGTTCACCAAACGCTCATCGACAGCATACAGACTTTGGCAAAAGCATTCTCCACATACCGCGATGAAGTGCTGGTAAGCAAATTGGATGCTTGAACTGAATTTGATCATGTCTGCAAAGGTTCACATTATAGCTGCATCAAAACTCAAGCGAAGGATTCTACTCCTTACTGCTGTAAAGGCACGACTTATGTCAACATCGTTTGCCCTTTTGTGTTTCATGTTGTCAGGTGAAGCGAGAAGAACTGCTCCAATTGGCCAAAGGTGCCATCTCAGGGTTGAAGATGAACGCCGACCTTGCAAGGTAGGCCAAGGATCATAATACTGTCCCTTTCTTCTCTCCCCCACCTCCCCACTCACCGTCCAGTTTGGTCAGAGCACAAAAGAGAAGGAAAAGTGCCAATATTCACTTCTGTACATGGCATGAGATAGATGGGTAGTTGTTGTCTGTGTATATGATGCATGTTTTAATGTTCTTGTCCCTGCTCTCAGAATAGATGCTGAAGTCGGCAGATTACTGGAGAAACTTGAAAAG